AAAAAAAAAAAAAAAAGTATCCATTTAGAGTATACAGTAAAAGTATCTACAGAGACATAGTTTTCTGGAAAACAGACATTTAGTTCTGAAAGCTCTCCATTGTTCAAATTACTCAAAACTCATATCAGAATTGCTTTTCCTGTTTTTAAATCAAGCCTTTGTCCATTTCATTTCCAGTGCTTACAACTTTTTCATTAATTCTTACTATTTTTCTCTGGGTTTTAATTATTTTTTTAACTGCTTCTAGACATTCTAAACACCATTTCAACTTTCTCTATTTTCAACCTAAAAACCTGTTTTGATGGTTTAACTCTCTTATGTTTGCTGGGGGGAAGGGGTTGTAATTTTCAGCTTTTGATTGCTTGTTTTCTGCAAGTGTTAGATTGTATCTGGGGCACTTTCTCCTTTTTGTAGCACTGAAGGCTCTTTTTGGTGGTAGCATTAGCAACAAGTTTGTAAAATTAAACTCTTAAAGGTTAAGATATATGCTGGCACAATTAAATTATGTTATTTAATCATGCTGTGTGAATGTATCAATTGTACAAGATCATATTAGATATCACAGTTGGCAGTTAATGAAAAGCATCTTTATCTGTACACTACCCAAACTTTACACAATGTTTTCTAAATTTCTGCTATATGAGGAAGTACTGTCCTGAGTTAACTGTTGTATACTGGAAACATAGATATGAGAAGAAGTTATTTTCAGATCTAATAATTTTGGGTGTTCAGCATGGGAGAATCATCCGCTGATTTTCTGAGATGATGAATATTCACAGTTTCCACAGACGTTATGTTAGGTACCAAATCCTTACCTCTTCTGCGTGTTCTCTTCTGGAAGACTGCAGTTGAGGAAATACGATTAGGAGGAAGAACGTTAACATTCATTATTGCTTTTTATGTAAGGTATTTAAGAATTGTTCTTGATTTTAAATGTATTTAGGAAATAACAATTTCTAACTCCCAAAACTTTGTAAAAGCTCAATACCCTTTTCATCAAGTTTCTTTGTCAAGGCTGGCCAGAGAATTACTGCCTGAAAATACACAGGGGGGTACAGCAGGACTCTGAGATGAGCCAAGCTGTGAGCTCTGCTGTTGTTTACTTCTACTGAGGTTCATGTTTCTGTGAAACATACATCAGTGTGTTTTTCAACCTGTTTTCTTTGATGGATATATATATATTTGTTTTGTCAGTTCTCTCTGATTTTTCTATGTATCAAGGTGTTGCTGACAGACATGGATTTAAGATTTTTTTAATATTTCCAAAAGTGGAATAGCCATGTTGGAAATAGAAAAACATAGATGTTTTTACTGAACTGAAAATATTTATGCACTGCTTAGTGAGCTTTAGTTCTTAAAAAAGTTTTCTGTTCATAAAACCTCGGATAATACCACTTCCTTGATATTACTTAGTTGCTACTCAGCTTCTTTATGAAATCAAAGGAAATGTGGGTTGGGTAATACATTGATTATATTTTAAACAGAAACTATTGTGATGCAGGTAGAGGAAAACAACTCTGTGGTTCCTGGATTCACAGCAGTTAAGGAGCTTGGCTAGTTAGTCAGGGTGGCATTTTGCATGCATAGTAGGTTTGGGTTTTTTTCACACTGAGAGGCAATATATCCTGCAGTTTAAGAGAACTAATCTCCCTGAAAAAAAAATGAAGAGCCAGTAACGGTTAAGGTAGTAACCTGGTTGCTAAATAGTTTTTTATCATGACATTTGATTCTTTCTCTTATAGAGGTGTGCCTTTTGTGCTAAAAGTGTGTCACTAGCTTTCTTTTTTCCCTTCCGACCTTGAAAATTTGGGAAGACAAGTTGAGACACTTCTGCATCTATTTAAAATTGAAATAGAAGTATTCTTTTCACTTTTGTTTTGGTCTTACAGTGTTGTGTTTCTGAGCAGGAACTAGACTTGCTTTGTGCGTGGAATGTCACACATCAGGTCCTTTCTAGATTAGATGCATAGGACAGAGACAAATAGAAACAAAGACGAGGCCTTCACAGTTGTGTCTCTCGGGACCTCTTTTTTTACATTACCTCTCTTTTTCCCTAGTTTTAATTCAGTAATTTAATGTTTTTCTTTCGATAAATCTCTCAAGTATTTTTGATATGAAATTACTAACGTAGCTTCTGTATTTTCAAGCCATGTCTTATTTGAAAGAAATCAGTATTTGTCATGCTTCACAGTGCAATAAGCTGCACAAGCTCTGCATAATGCTCTGTGTTTGTATGTGTTTTCTTTTTGTCATCCTGATCAAAGTTTTTGGGTTTTGTGGCTTTTTAAATATAACACCAAAAGTGTCTTATGAAAGCTTGAGGTGAACATAGGCTACAAACTGACGATAGTAACTTTAAATACTCTGGTAGTATGTTCACTGCACTCCTGCCCCAAATTCTCTCAGATACAGCTGAAATAGTCTTTGCATAAAAGTGAATAAAAAATTTACAGGACAGTTGTTTTTTTCATGTGGCACTGTTAGTGGGCAGCTTGGTAAGGGGATGAACTTCATGTTAGATTAATTGATGTTACATTACAGGTTATTCATGCAACATTAATGTTCCATTCCATAATGATAAAATAAGGGCCCAGTGAGCTTGATTTTGGAGGGTTGGGAAACAAAGTGGGTTTTCTTCATGTTGCTGTACCATGGTGGTGCAACAGTGTACAAAGTTTAAATTTAAAAATTGAAAGGAAGTGTTATTTTAAAATTATTGTGCAATGTTGTCTGACATGTAATTTTTCTACAGATTAACACTAAAGCCCCACAATGTCCTTGAAACCACGAGTAGTTGACTTTGATGAAACATGGAACAAACTTCTAACAACAATTAAAGCTGTTGTTATGTTGGATTATGTTGAAAGAGCAACATGGAATGATCGCTTCTCGTATCCTTTAAGTGAAAATCTGACAATGTGTTTGTATGATTTGTTTAGCATGGAGTAGGCCTGTGTTACCTAACGCTTTTTTGGTCTTGATCAGAAGCTTGTTGTAAGGTTGTATCTGTTATTAAGCCAATGGGTCAGTGGATATGTTGAAAGAGATGAGAAATTCTGCATATTTGGGAAGTAAACTATGTGAAAATCACCACAGTAATAAAAAGTGAACTGGTCTGAGTTTTAGTAGTTTTAATACTTACCTTATGCTATAGCTGTTCACAAGAATGCGTGCATGGAATTTTCCCTAATCTGATAATGATTTTTTCCTGTATGCTTAATAGTGTGTGTATCAAGGGAAACACCCAAGGCAGAGAATGCGCATCTTTAAATCTGGGGAGTGTGGGTCGGTTGTTCTGTTTAAAGATGTTTCTTCTGCACTTCTAGGTGTACTGATGACTACCATATTGGATATTTCCATAGCAAGGGTTTATAAAAAAAGTCTTCTTCCTGTCCCTCCACTGTTATTGTCTCTATTCCTGACAGTTAAGCTATGTTTAAAAATAATTACACTTTCTAGCTGTGATCGTGTGGTCTTACTGTTCAAGTCACAGCTGTACATATATTGTTGTAGTGGAAGGTTTGTATTTTACATATAAAATGGACTTGTAATTTTTCACAAGTTGTATGTTTCAGTGAACTTCTCTTAAAAGAAGTGTAACTATTCTAACCATTTATACTGTGCCCTGTGTCTGTGCATTCATTAGCCATTACAGTGTGGTGAGTAATGAGAGAATTTTAGGGGGCTTTGCAGCTGTTCTGCAGCAATTTGACTGAATTTGGTGTAATTATAGGGGGGGAGGAATGGTTTAGACTTATTTATTGATTTGTTAATTCTTCTGGATGAAAGAAGAAGCTCCTGAGAAGATTCTTGTACACAGATTTTTACAACATAAGCTTATTCTGAATCCAGGAGCTAGACTTTAAAGTCTCTTCTCTTTTTGAATGTGTTACCATTTCTCAGAATTGCTTTCCTATGTGCCTGTGTTTTGAGTGTGTGTGTGTATAAATACATAAAAGAAAAATTTAGTCCTTGTGAAGCCTTGTTCTATGGTACAATAATCTGTAAGGAACTCTTTCAAACTTTGTAATTAATTTCCGAGGGCATGACTCTTCACCTTGTCTTAGAGTCAAGTTCAAATTACTCCAGAATTTGCAGACTTTTCAAATTAATTAGTTGTACACTTATGTGCTGAGAAGTTATGCTGCAGTCACTCTTTCTAAGCAGTTCTTGGGAATTACATATTTCAGTCTTCAACAAGAGGTTAACTTCTGTAGCTTAAAGCTCTAAACATTTAAACAAGGGCACCTAAATTAGATTTAAATCTAAAATATAACTGAATGAGATGAATTGATTTCCTCTTGTCACACTATTTCACTTAGAACTTCTTATGTGGAGGCCTTGTACACAAGTCTGCTGTTGATCCACTTTTGGGCTTTATTACAGTTGATTGAACATCAGAAAGGGAACACTCATGAATAACAGACTCAGCAAGCAGTCTTGGAAGAATCAGTTGGCATGTAATTCTTAAGACCTTACTTACTATCATCTCTTAATTATGGTATTTGGAAAGTGACACTATTAGTCTCTAATTTGGCACAGGCAAGAGCCTTTTGGCCTATTCTTTATGATTGAATGGCTTGAGGAGCTTGTGTGACTTGTAACTTCCAGATTAAAAATTGATTGATTAGTACTTCTGTTGCCTTTAACCAAACTGTGTACACAAACTGCTCACTAAGTAGTCAATAACTTGGTGAAACTGATAGTTCTATATAGCTGGTGTGAAACATTTTTCAAGGTTTCAAATATATAGAATAGAATCACAGAATGATTTGGGTTGGAAGTGACCTTAAAGACCATCTAGTACCAAGCCCCCTGCCGTGGGCAGGGACACCTTCCACTAGCCCAGGCTGCTCAAAGCCCCGTCCAGCCTGGCCTTGAACACTGACAGGGAGAGGGCAGCCACAGCTTCTCTGGGCAACCTGTGACAGTGTCTCGCCCCCCTCACAGTGAAGAACTTCCTTACATCTAATCTAAATCTTACTCTCTTTCAGTTTAAAGCCAATTACCCTTTGTTCTATATAAAGAAAACTAAAGTATTAATGATACATTTTCAAGAAGATGTGGCATTTAAAAAATACGTTTTCTTGTTCTTTTGTTAGCTTTTTATTCTCTGTTAAATTTAAAACATCTACAGAGATTTTAAAGGAATGTCATATGAACTCTGTTTTTCTTGCTGCTTAATAAGCACAATAAAAAGGTGACATGATTTGAACTGTGTGTAAATTAAATTCATACAGGTTATTTAATTGATTATAGTACCCACTTGAGCTTTGTCGTCTATAGTTGAAACAATGATGTGGAAACAGGATAAGATGCAGCAAAGAATCATGTTTTCAGACTGCAACAGTGTATTCTAAGAAGTTTTCTTTCTCTTGTGCTGATTAAGACAGCTGAGATCAAATGGTGTATACAGACTAGTAGTATTTTAGGGATGAGAGATTTGTACTGTGCATATTCCACTTCTAGAGCTAATTTCTGCCTCACTACTTCCCCAGAACTTGTTTGTCTTGAATATAGTGTTTTCTTTTTAATGCTGATAGTAATTTTGTTAAACATAGCTTATCTTTAAACATAGCTTATATCTCAAACTTGAAATGCTAGAATGGCAATGAGATGGGAACCACAACTGTGTGAGAGTTAAAATCTTCTGGAAAAGATCACTTGAAAGACCTTATGTCACTTTATTTAAACTGTGAGTCATCTCAAGCCACCTTTGACCTTCAGATTTCCTTTAAGGTTCTCTGCAGAAAGAAATGTGTTCTGGAGTTGTCTCATTGTCTGATAAATGAGTGACAGTTATGTCTCTCTATTTGAGATATTATTTACAATAATTTAATTATTATTAATGCTTTATATAACTTTCAAGACTTAGCTTCTAATTGTTCAGCAGGCTAGGGAGTTCCAGCTTGGTTAGAGACTGGTAGTTCACCTGTAGTTTGATAAACTACCTATTAGCAGTAGAACTTTTTTGAATGGGTAGATCAGGATCTTCCTGTTGTTCTGTTGAGTTTTCCACCAACCAAATAAATAGGATGCAGAGTACCCAGAGAGGAAGGTAGCCATACTGCAAACATATTTTACAAATATGCAACATTGTCACCTACCTTTTTCTTTTTTCTGCATGTTTGTTCTCCCTCCTCTAATCCCCCATATTACAAGGATCCTATGATGAACTAGAAATTTAAATATGTATTTTAATATAAGGACTAGCCCAAAGAGAAGCAAGAGTAAATGAAGTTCATATGAACATTATTTTTTTTGAGTGTGAATCCTCAAGTGCTCTGTGAATTTTGATAGTGTTGCAGAGGAAGACAATCACAGAAATTTTCCGAAAGCTCAACTTTGGTCTTGTAGAGAAGATCCATTCAAAACCTTCTGTTAATATATGGTCTAAAGTAGAAGCTTTTTTTTAACCCTGAGGACAATGTTTGTAAGCTTTTATGGCTTTGAATACAGTATTTTCATGTTGATGGTAATTTTTTTTTTTCCTCAGTTTGGAATTGCTTCAGTTTCCCATTGCTGGGTAATGCCCCTCAGATAGCAACTACTGGAGCACTTAAATTGCACAAAGCTTTTGATGTTGTTCTCAACACAGAGTGAAGGCTCATAAGCAGCAGCTTGGCTTGAGCTTTGTTTGACCTTTCTTACCCTGCAAACTACATGGTGAACTGGAAGGACAGATGGTTTTCACCATTAAAGTTAAATTATTGAACAGTAAAGGCATCTTCCTGATCTACTAAGGGACAGCAACACAGAAAATGTGCTTCAAGTTTATGGAGTAAAATAATTCTTCTCCCCTCAAAGGCGGTTTTGGTGGTTTGGGGTTTTTTTTGAGATTCGTAACATTTTAACACTACACTTAAATTTATATTTTGGACTGAAAGATATAGTTAGATGAATAAACTAATACAAATCAAGCAAGAATGTGAACTTTCTGTAGCAAAGCTGCTCAGTAAGGTGTTTTTGAGATTCATGGTAACTTATTTGTAGAAATCCCAGAGAAACTTAGTATCCAGTGAGTAGAATTTGATGCTGATATTTATAATTTGATTGATGCAGGAAAACGTGTGAGGTGCCTCTAGAAGTGCTTCTGTAATTAAGCTGCTAGTTTGCATACCTGCTGAAATTAATATTTCAGTGAAGAATACTATATTCAGCTTTCTTCATTTATAAGAAAAATTGACTGTTACCTACAGTACGGAAAGTGCATTTTCCTGAATGACTACAGATACTATTTTTGTTCTTAAACACCTTTAGTACAACTAACAAACTTGTTTACAGTAGTCAAGTCATCTGGACTCCTAACTGAAGCCTAGGGCACAAAGCCTAGATAAGTTCAGAGATGTTTGCTGCTTTTGTCAGACAAGCTGTCATTATTATTTTCTTGTGCTGTTGTGGTAAAACTGCCTATTTCCTTTAACTTTGAAGTAATTTGCCCTTGTAGCAGAGATCCATAAGTTTTGGTGATGCTGATAGTGTAATTGTGGATCTAAAGGAAAAAAAAAAAAAGTCCCCTTGTGACTAGCTTGCAAAGACTGCTAATTCTGGAATTTACTTTTTCAGAGTAAACTCTTCAGAGTCTTCACTTACTTGCACAGTGAAGAGACTTTTGATCTACATTAAATTGAGGATGTGTTCGACTACAGACCGTCTTTAGACTGACAAAATAGACAAAATTCGAGGCCGGAGGGGGATAGATGGGGGGACAGGGACGACAGATGGGCATGTCTTAAAAAAAAAAAACACTACTAATTTAATACTTTGTTTTGAAATTTTGTAGGGGATAACTTTTTAAGTTGGTGAATGCAATGCTAGCTACTGTTACAAAGCAGTGAATAATGCCTGTTTTGTTTGTTGTCTTTCCAATAATGCTTCTTGCAATTCCAAGGCGAATTCTGATAAAGATGATCTATATGAATTAAATAGCTGTACTTGAGATTAGACTCTGATTAAGCTCTCAGAGATTCCAGTTGCCAACCTAAGGCTTTTTCTGTTTGATCGTCCTACATCAGTATCTTCTCTGTTTTGAGGACTACTTCTATACAAAAAATGAAACATGCTTTTGGGAAAAACTCTGTGATGAAAGCTTGATGCTGTTCTGTAGACTAAGCAGGTGATCTGTCGGTAGTCCTTATATCTTTTACCTCCCCTTACACAGGCATGTGCGGACTAGAGGAAAGCAGATATCTTGTCTTCTCTTAAAGAGCTTATCTTAAAAAGTAACGTATACTGAATCATTATTTCTACCATGGCTGGTTTTATAAAATGCCTAGACTTAGTGGAGAAGCATAATGTTTTTAAATAATTTAAGCAGAACTAGTTTATTTTCCACAGTTGTTGACCTGAAGCTTGACTTAATCCTCACTTAACTTTTCTGAAAGCGAAGTTCTTAATCATAAATACTTTTCCTGACTAAGTATCAAGTGGCTTTTTTTAAACTTGATATAAACTGTAACAAACCAAAGGTGTAGCTGTGCAAGATACTTCAGGGACAAAAACTATCTTAAGGGGTTTAATTGTGTGCTGCTGCCCATTTAAGTGAGCTTGTGTGTGACTGTGATCTAAACAGGATTACTGAAATGGTATAATGGTTAAAAATAAATCAGGTTTTTAGATCCACACCACCATTGTGATGACTTAATTTCCAGTGTTGCACAAAATTGTTTTACCTGTGGAGTTGGGGGGAATAAGCAGGAGCAGTAAATTGGTTTGGATCTTGGGGAGGAAAACTTGAAGTCAGCTTCACCTCATCTTTGCTCTGCTCTATACTTGGTTAATCACATTCTTAAGCTAATTAGTGCTTCTTTCTGTTACTGGAAAAGTGTCTCAATTTCACATTGGCTGCAGATACAGAGGAAGAATTTTGGATGAAAGCTGATTTTTCACTTTGAGATAATCATTAATTATTCATAGAAGTCAAATAAGTGGTAGAAGCCACGTCAACATGGGGCTACCAGAAGTGCCAGAATCTGTTTTAACATTCCCTCACCTTCCACCACTTAAAATTTATTGACATAGAAAACAGATTCTTCACAAACCAGGACTTACTCTACTTTAAAAAAATGATCCATTTTATCTTTTGTGCTCAACTGTAGAAAAACAAACCAAAACAAAACCAATCTAAAATGCATGTGTGAGAGAAAAAAAGGTTCTGTAAATCTTAGATTTTGTTGATGTGCTTTCACACTTGAAGCAGATACAAACCTTGACTCTGAGTCCAGAGACATTTACGCTTTGTGTGTGGCCTATCCTGAACCTCTTGGAGAGAGACTTTATACTGAGACTAAAATTTTTTTGGAAAATCACGTACGCCATTTGCACAAGGTAACCTATACAGTTACTGATATATGTGTAGGTGTTGTTTATCCTTTTTTTACTTTAAGGAGGGGTTTTGTTGGTTTGCGTGTATGAAGGTATGCACATTCTGTGAGACTGAATCACAGATGACAAGAGTTCCAGAGACAGAACATATATATATATATATATCTAAATATATAATTTAGATAAAATATTAATTGTTGGCTTGAAAAATAAGCTCTTTTCTGTTGAATGCTTATAATCAAACAAGTTACAGAAATGTCTTCATTTTCCAAATGTGCTATGGTTTGTTATTAGCCTTCTGTCACAGCGTAAAGTGTCTACTTTTTGCCTATTTTTTGTCTACTTACTGTTTTGGAAACTGATTTTATATATTCTACTAAAACCTTTGGAAATATGTGGGAAAAAATTACAGAAATGCTTGGGAGGGGAGGAAGTAATGACAATATTATGACAAATAACAATACTTGTATACCTATATAGCTGTGAATTAACTCCTGTCTTATCAGCTAAGATGCCTTATTTCAACAGAATCATGATTGATCATGTCGAATATATAAGATGGTGAACAGCATCTCCTTGTTTTTCAGTAAAAAGAGAAGTAGATTTAAGTAAGATGTCTGCCTGCCTTTGGTGTCTCTATAGGGAGTGAAGAATTGCAAATTCTGGATAGTATGCTAAATAGCTTAATACTGTTTTTTTGAGCTGAGGTACCTGTGTATTTGGCAAGATAGTTGGGGTATCTTAATGGGTAGTTCCACTGGTTGCAGAGAGGATAACTCTGACGCTTTGGTAGACTAATTCAGTTCACTAAACTGGCAGACAGCTCAGCCAAAAAGGTTCTTCCTCATTTATTTAGTGAGCTGAATGAGCTCATTTAAGATAATCAGGCAGGTGCCAGCACAGTAGAAGCTGTGGGAAGTAGCGGAAAGCGTACATCCTTTTTTTTAAATAGGCTATCCACCATTTGTCTTTGAAATAATGTTGGAAAACCTTCACAACATTCATATGGCAGAGGAAAGCGCTTTCAGTTCTGTTTTGTCTGCTAGCTTTCCTCTTTTACATTGTTTTTGCATAGCCTTCTTTGCTGCTTGAGCCAAAGTTTAGAATTGCATACTGTAGGGAGAATTATAATTGAATTCCTAGGATCTCATCCTCCTTCACAAATCATACTAATTTGTTTAAATTGTTGAACTTACTCCTTTGAAGTATTGAATATATTTTGAGAAATTCAGTACATCAGCAACTTCTTAGATGATAATTTGCTTAAATTCCAAAAGATTTGCATCTAGATTTACAAAACTTAAGACATGTTTAAGTTTGCACATATCTGCGCTTTAAGATTGTTTTATTCTAGGATTCTTGGTAAGTATAAGGGCTTGTCTAACCAGTAAGGCATACTAATTTTAAACAGTTACAGTTAGGCAGTTCCTCCAGTGTGCGTGTGGCTGCAGGAACTTAAAATTGATCTGTGTCAGTGGGGGGGAATTATATGAGTTATCCCACCCATATGATGTCAGAATATGGATCATGCTTATTCAAGAAAATACGTTTGTAAAGATGAATAGAAACTAATACATTATAGAGACTGTTCTTAAATGCAAAATAAAACAACTTCAATTTTGCAACTGGTTTGTCAAAACTTCCTAGAATGAATGTTTGTTAGTCTTCTGGTCATTGCAACAATGTTATTTTTAGACTGGTTAAAGATTTAGGTGTGGTCTTAATTTTGAATCTGTGATTGTTGTTCCAAAATTAGAATCCTGTTACAACTTTCTATGTATTCTCTTTTCATACTGATTTTAGGGGGGGGGGGCGGGGGGATGTCTTCCTTCACAGAGAGTTCTGGAAGCTGAAGAACAAGTACTGGTTATGTATCACAGATACTGGGAAGAGTATAGCAAAGGGGCAGACTATATGGACTGTTTATACAGGTAAGATTTGCAAATGAGTTGTTAAACTTTTGAAATTATTACAGGGATCTGCAGCTCAAGTCCAAGAATGTTGCTTAAAGAGAGCAATTGCTGAATATGCTCCAGGTCAGTTTTGGAGAGAATATAGTTGTGGTAGCAGAACATGAGAAAAAGAATAATACTTCAACAGGTTGCCACTGAAGTAGTTATCTAAGATGATTCCTACTACTCTTTCATAGTAATATATTCTACCTCTGTTGTTTCTGATGTAGCAGTGCCAGTTGGTGCTAATGAACCCTGCAGTGACGTAGCTCATAATCTTAGGTGGTGTTCTACAAGAATGACATTGTACCGAAGTGTCCGGTTTGAAGCAGAATGGTTTGTTTCAGAGCTTAGCCACGTACCTTGGCAAAAACACAGCTGTCTCTTCTAGAATAGCTTTTCAGATAGGGCTGTGTGCTCTTTGTGTCTTTTCAGGTGAGTGCTTGAGCCGCAGGGATTGGAGAGAGTGAAGATTATGCCTTGTTTCTTTTCTGAGAACTTCAAAAACTAATAGACTGTAGACAGGCAACCAATTTTACCTTTTTTTTCAGTAGTTTACAGACAAGCCTATAAACAAAAATGCAACTCACCCCTGATATTTTTGTACTTCTATTGTTTCCTGAATTTCAGGTGTGTTTTTTTGCTACTAGTGATGGCTTAAGCATTAAAACTCATCCATTCATGAGTTGCTAAATTACAGCTATGTTGAGATGGCTTTGGATTTATGAGGATTTGGATTTTCATTCCACTCTGACTGTAGGTTGAACATTCTAGTGTCCATTATGCAGATAAATATAAGTTATGAGGCACTGTTAATATTATACTTATTTGATGGTATGATATGAGGATTTACAAAGCATTTCAATACCTTTGGTATTATGTTAGGAGATGTATATGTGATCTTGTAGAATTTAATAAATTTCCTCTAGCAGACTGGGAATAAATGTGATGGAGTCTATCCTGGGCTTTCAAACTTTAGTTCCAGAATGTGTTACTGACTTAACCAGAGAGTTGATATGGGGGTGTGGGATTCTTATTTAATGTGTATGAATCTTACTGATTCTGCTTTGTGTAACAGTTTTTCTGAGTGTTTGAGTGCTGCTGGTCCTAAACCAACAAAAAAATACTTCTCTAGCAGCTTGAACCTGATTTTTCTGTTTTACTTTTAAACGACCTAGGGCATTTTCTTTCCAGACAGTTGTTATGCACAGAAACCAACCTGTACATATATCTAAGCTTTGTAGAGTGCTATTCATGTTATCAGTGAAGGCATGTTCTTAAACTATGAAGTTACTTATTTCACAGCAGCTCTGCTCATTCTAACTTTTCTTCCTGCTTTGCATATGGTGTTTTGGTCCAGAAAATGTACTTGTTAAATGTTCAGTTGGAAATAATTTTACCTTAAAGTTATCTACTCTTTCTTTGTGTTGAAATTCTGAATTTTGTCATATACTGTCTTGTAAAAGTCTCTAAAGAGACTTCGTGAAAGTATGATTTCTCTTCAATATTAAAAACATATATTGTAATGGGAACTGAAAGACCCTCTCACATGAAGACAAGAAACAATTCAGTGCTTAATTAGTGGAGTCACTTTTATGTGCTGGAAACACTTCATTAAGTGTTATGTCACTTTTTTGGTTTTTTAAGAGAACAGTTTGGGTGAAAGTACTTCTGAAGTCCCGAAGAAGATACTCTGGTTTTTATAAAGCAGTTAGAGTTCTTTTCTTACTTGCACACCTGCTCTCAAAAGAAGCATCATAAATTGGTTGACTCTGTTGTATCCCATGATCTAATTTGTATAATTATTCCAGCAATGAAAACTAATTAATCTTTACAGCTAGAAATGTTACTTTAAAATGGATTCCTTTAAAATTTCAATAGGCTCGCACCTCTGCTTCTTGAAATACTACTAAAATGTGAGACACTTTACTTTTGAGCAAAATTATAAAATTCACGATCAATCATGTGACTGGCAATGTGGTCAAATGTTTTCTTTTTTTGATGTTGGCTTTTTTTTTTTTTTTTTTCTCCCAACCCCCAGGATGAGTTTTGCTAGGAAAATAAATATGGATTCAATTTGAAAACTGAAATCCCATACATACTTGACTAAACTAGGCTGATAAAGCTGATGGAATAAGGAACACTTCATGTTAAATAAATTTCTTCAGTTGTTTTTGTTAGTTCCAGTGATAAACATAGTAGATAAAAACTATGCAGGACATTGGGGTTTATCTGTGCCTTGGTGCTGTAACATTTCATAGGTAATTGTAAAAAAAATCTGGTTTGTGTACCTTTATTTCAGGTAATGAGGGTTTTCTTATCCAGCAAATTAAAAAAAAAAAAAAAGAAAAAAAAAGTAATTTAATTTCGAACACGGCTAGAGTTTTAAAATCTGCTCTTAATAAAATCCTGAAAACTAAACACACATAGTACACTTTTGCTTTGTTCTGTTTTGTTTTTTCTTTTAAACACTTGTAATAATACCAGCATATTAATCTATAGTAATTTTTAGTTCTTTAGGCTAATCTTAGTTCTCTTTGTAGCTTTATGTGAGACATCTTCCATCCCTTTCAGGATTAAATTTCAGCCAGTTTTGTCATGATGGGAATAATTTGTATTCTGATTCTAAGCATAATATCATAGTAACCTATAATATAGTTCAGGCTGATTATCAGTCCCAGTCCCCTTCTAATTTTTATGAGAATTAAGAAGCTGTCGCTCTTAATCTTGCTTAGTAATTATATAACTTAATAAATGTGGGGAAGATTTAAACAAACAAGTCCCATCAACATTTGAAACTTAGTAATATTTTTCTATTGAAACTTCTTCCACTGAAGGAACTGTATTAATTTTAGTCCATAGAATTTGGTAGACCTGGAAGGTTTACTTGTGCATCAGATCTTTATTATTGGTTTCATCACTTTGATAAAGTTGTTGGATTCATAATATTTTAGCATCTGCAGTGCTTTGTCATGATGAAATGGCTTTTATTAATTAATCCTCAAATTGTGGTAGATTACTTTAACCCTGTTTTACAGATCTGTGAACCAGTGAATACTTTATCTGTGCTTAAAAGTGAATCAGAACAGATACTGGATTATGGATATTTCCAGTGCTGAGCACTTGTATGTGTATAGTACTAGACACATTAAAGCATTCTGCTTGTATAAAGCACAGTGGTTTTGCTGCTTTTAGTATAGCTCTTGAGAAGTTACGTTTTCATTGAAACATTTAAAAAAAAAAAAAAAAAAAAGTAGGTGCAAACTAAGTTCTAAAGGCCATCCATTTCAACCTTATGCTCAGAGTAGGGGCTAGCTTCAAAGTTAAACCAGGTTGCTTAAGACTTTTTTTGAGTCACATTTTGAGCTCCTTCAAGGACAGATTTTGCTGCCTTTATGAGAAATCTATTTTAGTGTTTGATTACTCATTCTAAAAAATTTTCCTGTATATCTCTTTGGAATTTGTCATGCTGCAACTTGTGTCCTATTGCTTCTTGTCTTTTCTCTGTGTTCTTCTGAGAAGAGTTGATCTTGTATGTCTCGTGCTCTGCACCTTAGCTATTTAAATGAGTTTTCTCTGTACTTGTTTTGTACACGTTTGCCCAGATTTGTTGTATTTGGGTACTCAAAAGTGGTCATAATATTTCAGGTGTGTCCTCACAAGCTCTGAGGGATCAATCACCTCCCTCCGCTTGCTGGTACGCTCTCGCTAATGCAGTCAATGAGGTGGTTGGTTCACTGTCAGCTCCACAAGACAACTGCTGACTTAATATGCACCCATGAGGAACACTGTTCATAACTGGTCCCTGTACAGTTTTAACACTGCTAACCATATGAATGCACATGGAAACTACTGAAAACATTGATATAATTGGTAATTCCTGCTATATAGTAATTTATAACTTTGTTATATGGCTGTGTCACATTGTTGCTTGCAAAGCAATTTAATTGTGCGAGTGTTAGGTTGAAGAAAATCTTGAAAAACAAGGTCAATACTTCTGAAAACTAGCTGTAATAATTAGTTCTAGCTAATTAGTTATGGGGTTTTCTAATTGCCTCCTATACAACTGAACAGTGAATGGTATTGCTGCATTATCCATTTCTCTGCCCATGAGTACTTGCAGTGGCCTGTAAAAATCATTAGCAGGGTTCTCTTGGTGCAGACTTCTGAAAACAATTTCCTCTGCACGTGGTCAGGTGTATTCCCATATACTATTCTGCTAAGACTTGGATGCCATTTTGGGGATCAGTACAGCAGTCTTACTATGTGTGTAGGAGGCGGGGGCAGGGGTGATGGTAGAGGAGGAGTGGTTACTTGGAAGTTTCTTACTTATCTTCGGAGACCTTTAAGAGGAGGAAAACCATCTGAATAGAAGGTGTCTGCCCATTTTACTTAATAAGGTATGGTACTTTTAGAAATGCATATAATCCGATGTGGTGTTTTGTGGTCTTATATTGTGAATCAACAAAGACTTAAAGAAGGTAAATTCTTATTGGGCTTATCATGGAGAACATAAAATAACTGAGAGCTGACTTGAGACAGGTATGCTCTTAGGTTTATTACATTCAAGCTAAATTTCACAGTGTCTATTTTGCCAATGCTAATACTTCTTATCCAGAAGTACGTTATTCAAACTATTAAAACCAAATAAAACTTTGAGAAAAAAATATACATCTAATATTACAAACTGTTGCAAAGTTTATACTCGAGGACACTGAGATGAGGAAACATTGCTTTGGGAATGTGGTCACTGTGTCTAGAATAGTAATCTGTTGTTAAAGTATTGTCTTTGGTCGATCTAAATAACATGAAAGCTACCAGGTAACCTCTCCCCGTAATTATCTATCCATCTAATTGTTAAACTATTTTTTGCAGGTTTGGTTTGTTGGGGTTTTTTTTTATGTGAAATTCCTTGTAAAATAACTTATCCTTTTATTTTGCTGGATTAACAAGTCCTTTATAGCTGAGAAAAATTGCCCACAAAAATATTCATGTGCCAGACATTTTCCTGATATTGTTAATTTAGATGGAACAGTCTTTCAGTATTCCAGTCTAAAGTAGATATTTCTTTTGAATAAGCCTTGTAACACTCTTCTAAATTCCAAATGTCTAAATTTCTTTACAGAGTAGAAGCTTGATGGGTCTGTTTTTGAGGTTTGGGTACCAAAAGGTATATTGCTTTACTAATACCATGAAAGGAAACAAACCTCAATTTTCTCATCTTGTTTGCCATTTTCCTTGTCAGGTAGTAAAGCATAAGCCTGCACAGGTGCACTCTCAAGTAATTGGGCCTGAGCTGGGTGATCAGGTATTTCAAATTTTCACCTGAAAGTTTTATCTCAATAGTAACAAGAGTCTATGGATAGTTTCTGGTATTATCAATTCATTCTTAATCCTTGTCTCCACAGTAAGTTCCAGGTGAACCTTATGGTCTGTCTTCTAAAAGTAAGAAATAAAGGTGAAGCATTTAAGGTGAAAAATGGTTTATGGCTTCAGTGGAGAAATTGATTTGAGATTATACAATTTGCACATACTTTTCAGTTATTTGCTTCTGCTTGGTTCTGGAAGTCGATGGTAGAAGTAGGTGGAGGGAAGAGGAAATGCGTGCAAATTTGGCTTTGGTTTTGAGGCAGAGTGTGGAGACAGTCTTGCCATGAGTGGTTCTGCCTCCCCGCTTCTTGCCATCCCTTTTTTGCTTAAGTCAGGTAGGTCTTTGCAGTGGTACCTGATCTAGGTTAAACTTGTTTATTTACTTGTGGTTACATTAGTTTTAAGATGGATCACTTGCCCAATCTGGATTTGTTGAGAAGACATGTCTGATGGAAGAGAGAGGGTGTGAATGAAGAGAGAATAGGGCTTTCCTTTTTAGCAAGCTTAACAGGAAAATGCAGAATGGCAGCTGCTGGCTTTGTTTACATGAAAGGGGGTGGGAAATATCATCAAGGAGCATGCCTGCTTAAGGCTTGTGTTCCAACAATTTTGGATGTCTACACAAGTTTTAAATGAAATGGTGGGCCTGTAACCTTCTACACAGACTTGCATTTGCCATTTATCATGATTATTGATGGTAGCAGAGCGGTTTTCAGTACTGTAAGACCCTGGAGTATGAAATTAGTTTAGGCCAGTATTCCAGTTTGTTACCACTGCACTACCACAAGTCTTCCTTCTTTGGACACTGTGTTGTCCTAAATTTTTTCAAGTTCACAGGTTTCCATAGTGTGTTTTTCTTTTTGGCTTGTCATTTGCCTTCTCGCACGAAGTGTTCAGACATCACTTGTCTGGTGCAGCCCCTGAAGCCTGAGTCCTTTAAAGTGCTTCAGTAATCTGGCTCTTTTCACTGTCTGAAACTGGGCATCTCAAAACTGCTAGTTGGATCAGAATTTAAAAAACCAACCAAACAAACAGAACAAACAAATTTTGTTACCTCACTTAAGCACTAACAACAAATATTTTAAGTGTAATTTTGAAAGATATTAGAAATTTTTTCCCTGTTTTCTGGGAAAGAGAATGGTTCAGTTTAAAAATGTTACTGCATTCTTTAAAAGGAGTACTGAGAATTAAGGGAATTATCAGGTCTTGTGCAGAAACCATTTTCTATTCTTTATAAAAAATATAATAGTAAAAAATAGTAAATACTAAAATAAAAAGTATATATGGCATTTCTTCTTTATAAGTGTTAATTAAAATAATTTCTGCAAATTCTTCTCATCTTTGAAATTTATAATACAGCTGTTTGCTAGTTATCATGACCTGAGTAAGGGATCATAAGTGACAAAAATTTGCCCCATAAAAATTGACACTGTTTTTGTGTGTTAGTCTGAGAGAAATGCAAAATAATAAACAGTACAGATAGAGGAAAATACATTTTACTTAAAAATATCTGATACACATGAATGTTTTTAGGTCATTACAAATAAACTATCATTCTAATGCTAGTCAACTGCTCAGAATTTAGCAGTTATTTTGCATCTACATGTGTGAGTAATATGGCATTGTGTGTTGAAAGGTTAGATTCTAAAACAAGTATATTGCACACCAAGAAAATGTTGACAGTGGTATATCAGGCTGATGGTTAATATCTCAGTTACTAACACTGTATTGTTTTAATATAATGTAAAGTCTTTTAAATTGCAGTCATTTATATTTTAAGAATTTCCTACAGATAGCAATGGCATTGGTTAAAAGAGGTTTTGTGATGTGGAAGACATTATGCAATTCCAAATTTATTATAAAAAAAAATTTTAAGTTTTTCCTGTTTTGATTAGAGTATCTTTAATTCTATAGGTACCTCAACACACAGTTTATTAAGAAGAACAAATTGACTGAAGCTGATCTTCAGTATGGTTATGGAGGGGTGGATATGAATGAACCGTTGATGGAAATAGGAGAGGTAGGTATCTCTGAAAGTAAGAGTGGGTATAAACTATATTCAGAAGGTTGTACAAGTTAAGCTTTGTCCTTTTAAAATTTTGACATTGTGGTGTCACAGAATCTGAGTAGTTAAATATGCTAGAAGATGTAAGCACTGAATCCCTTGTGAAATGAGATTATGGTTTTGATGTAGAAAAGTATAGTGAACTTGGGGGGAAGCAAATATGAAAACTATTGGAGAACGGTTTAAAATGTGATAATAGATACCACTTTGTAAAACAACCTTGCTTTATTAAGTGACACTACTATCTAGAAAATATTTTGAAGAATGAAAATTTGGTTTTGGAAATACTTGAAATATTACTTTTAGGCTTCTATTTTTTAATGTCACAAAATGTAATAGCTTTTTTTGAGAGTAGTCTTCTGTACATCATCTTTTCTAATGCAAGCTGTTTCCTACTTCCACTGTAGCAACTTGGATAGGCATTTTACAAGAAAAAGTAATCATTCTGTACACAAAAGTATCATGTAGTGCGGGTTTATCTTTAAAGAAAAGGTAATTCAGGACAAGTACAAGGGTTTTCAAACAGTTGCTAATGTAAGTTGGAGAGGCTGAGGGTAATTTTTAAATGCCTATAGAATGAAAAAAATTGTCATCAGTAGGACTACCTTGTGAAATACCACCCTGTGCACTTCAGCTATGCAGAAGTGAAGTATACGTCATTTCTGTCACTTCATGGAATACAAGAAAATAAAATGAAAAGAAATTTTACCATTATAAAAAGAAATCTTTACAGTTTTTTGAAACAAACTGTTTCTGTATGTCTTTTAAAGATTTTTGAAAACACCTTTTCAGTCTGAATCAGAACTGAAATTTTGAATACAGTTGGGTATAAACTTTTCTTTTGAATGCTTGTCTGTGTATCTGTTTGCTTTCTGTCTGCTAGCTGGAGAATGAAATTTATTCTGGCATCATCTGTAGGGGTGTATTGTTTTTTTTCCTTTCCTCTACAATTGCCTTTTTCTCTAAAAGAGAAGTGAACACTTCTCTTTCAGTTTGGAAAGCTAGTGAAAATACTTTTTTTTTCTCTTGATATCTGAACTTGACCTGTCAGTGATTACTGTTTTAGTCCTTTTGATTTCATTGTTTTAAGTAGATCTCTGCTGCCTTTAGTTAAGAGTAAGGAGAGATTGTGATGCATGAAGAAGCATCCTCTGTGCTTCTGACCCAGCTACCCAGCTGATGAAGACTACTGCCAGTTGAAATTGCTAATCCTCTGACAGGTTGGGGATGGGCTGAAAAAAACATCAGAAGCATGATATACTTTAAGTCAAGGCAATTTAGAGAAGGAAATTCTTCTCTTGTCTACCTCTGCTGTCACCAAGGCTTGCTAATTGGTGACATCTATAAAGGCTTATCAGAGCTTGGAAGTACATATTGCTGCACTGTTTGTGGTATCTTCAAAATGGCATAAGTGTTATTCCTTATTTCCTCAGACTGAGATGTAGCTGACTGTTCCTGCGATTGTTGGAGGTAGTCCTTAGCTCTGTGTGAATGACTGAGTTCAGCTGCTTTGGGGGCTGGGAATAGGTCTGGGCTTGTTCTTGGGGCTGGGTTTGCTGATGGATTAATGAATTCTCCCATTTCAGTGTGATACTCCATTCTGATATACCATCCAAAGGATGGTAGTGGCAACTTCTGTCCATAGCTTTCTGCCCTAGGATGTGTTTACCAAACTAGAGCAAACAGCAGACCTGATAATTCAGCTTTTTTTAAGTATTCTGTTTTCCTTGTGTTTGTGGAATCATAAGCAAGGCAGAAGGACAGTGACGCATGCTTTTCTTCAATCTTCCCAGCAGTTTTTCCTAGGATGGTACATCCCTAGATCAGCATTTGGGCAGGTTATGGGGAGGGTTGAGATTCTTAAACTGTAGCTGACAGCCTTTGGTTTTTCATGAAGATGTTCAGATGATGATGTGTGGAATTCTGCTAATGAGTTTTTCATTATCTCACTCCCCAAAACTCCTTCCATTTCTCTTTACCAAATACTGTCTTTGCAGTCTGTAGTAGTGGGAGGTAAATCTTGGATCTTGAGGAGTAAAGTTAATCTCTGTTCATTACTGCTGTAGGATTAGGTTTATAGCAGTTGCTCCTTTGCCCTGGAAAGGAATGGAGACTTGCGTCCTATGCTCAAGTAGTTTAATGCATTAAATTGCAGTATTGTTTTTGGTGAATTCATTGCCCCAGAAATAAAAGTAGTTCACATTTCTTGACCTAAGACACTCACTCATTAAGTTTATCAAGTCTTTGTTTTGAAAACATTTTCTCTTCCATTATAGTTCCTGTTTAGGATTCTTTTATTCTTTGGATTGTACTAGGGGCTTTGACAAAAGTCTATATTTCAGTTGTTCATTGCTTTAGAATGGAAGGAATTATCATTTATCCCTTTTTAGATGACTGAGATGATCTGTCCTTTATCTATACAAGAGCAAGCATGCTTATTTTATATATAGTTCTCCTCAGTTGCAGTATGAAGTTACAGAAATAATGTCCAGTATTTGTGGAAGCAGAACTGTACTCTATGTACTGAAGTTTCTGTCTCAGTGTGTTAATGAAACTTTGGGAGCTTTTCAGTAATCTTAAACGAGTACATGCTTGCTTAGTTCTTCTGGAGTGTGTAACAGCACAAGATACTGGAGGTGCATATGTAATGTTTATGGGCATGGCTTCAAACAGTTTATCATCCTGATAAGTGTTCCAGACATTAGTAATTGTTGTACTAGGAAAAATACAGGATGAGATCAGTTGTTGAGAATAGTTTGTTAGTGCTTGCAAGAGATTATTTATCTTCTGTCCTTATGTTATGAATGCATGGTGAAGGATACTGCTTTTGTGAGTTGAGCTCCTATCACCAATTTCAGACATCTGAGTTTTCAATGACTCAATGAGAGCCCTGAGCTAGAAGGTAATCAAGATATGCCTTATAGTTTGGGGTTTTTTTACCCCATCATGGGGCAACAGATTCTGGGAAACAGAGGAAACTGCCATGTTCTGTATTGTCTGTTTAGGTGGAGAAGATCAGTCCCTCACTTCAAAGAGAAGAAAGTGTCTTGAACCAGTACATGAAATTGCTAGATTGACCTAACTCTAGTTTATTTGATAAAAAAATTCCAATAGACAAGTTGAAGCTGTTTCAAATTGTTAGATCAGATGTGAAAGGGACCATGTTAGAGACCACATTGTGGAATAGTTACCTAATGTTGTCCCCTTCACCTCTTAGTCATAAAATGTGTCAGTCTTGTCTTTTTCTCCAAAACTAGCTTCTTTCAGCATTTTCTGCTGGATGAGTTACTGATGTCTTGGGGAAACATCTCCTCTAACTGTTCTGCTACTACTCTTCACAAGGCAAGAAAGTGACAATCATTCCTAATACAACTTTGATTTCAAAATGTTATCTGTCTTTTGATTTATAAGCAAGCCTTTACCTCATTTAAGAACTTGCTTATGATGCAGCAGGGTCAGCTTTGCCTCCCAGACTTCTGCACCCTGTATTACACAGTGGGTTCTGGATAGCTGTGGTAGAAATTCATTTGTCTGCTCTTTAAAAGGAAGATTTATTTCAAAAATTGGATCAGTATTTTAATTTCTATAGCTGAGGAGCTGTTAACTGTGTGAACGCTTTCTTAGCAGCAATATTTCCTCTGTCCTCGTTGATAATAGTAATTTCACTTCCCCAGTCTACTGCTCACTGGTAGGTGTTTTTAGAGGTCTCAGATGTGGGGGGGTATTTGCCCCATACGCAGGATCACATCATACCCTTTGGGCTTTACATCTGATTTTGACTTAAGTGTAAAAACTCCTCTGAATGATTGCGGTTGGTGTTTTTAAAAAATGGTATGTTTTGCGAGCAACTACTTCACCCACAAGAATTTGTGATACTTGAGTTCCTTTGACTGATCCTCCTAATGATACATTAGGAACAGGGTAACCTATCCCTAATACGAAGGTGATTTCAATTCCATTTAAGGAAAATACTAGCTTGCCATGACTTTGCTTAAGTTATGTGAATTTTGGTTTGGAGATGCTCTCTGTGTGTTAGGTATAAGGGTTCTGTATCTTTGACTCTGACCTCTGACAAATTAGTCAAGAGACATTCCGCTTGTCAGCCAAGGGTTATTTTGCTATCATTTTTAGAAATACCTGTGTCTGCATATATTCAAACACTTCAGGTAATGTTACTTACCTATTACAGTGCAGATGTTTTGTTTATATGTACGCTCAAAACCTGCCCTCATAACCAACTTATTTAGGGCACTTAGATGCATTTGAGAATCCTTGATAGTGTGGAACCAAGGAATAAATCAGTCCTATTAGATATGTAGGAAGAATGCGGACTGGGAAGCATGCACTCAGAAACTGCCTGACTAGAAATTCTGTGTGTGACACTACTAGTGTACAGACCTGTATGATCTTAATCCAAATGCAGTCAGATGTTCTAGAAGAAAAACGCTAAGGTAATGTATTAACGTATTGACAAATTGTGTGTGTTTAGGAGGTAAACAATTTAAAAGGAGAAAGAAGAGGGTATCTAGCAACTTAATTTTTAAAATCCTGAGTGGGGAGTTGCATCATCTTTGATATTGTTTTGGTGGTGGTTTTTGTATTTTTTAATTGTGGTGAACTTGTGTTGTGTCCTGACAGCTAGCTCTTGATATGTGGAGAAAATTAATGATTGAGCCACTGCAGACCATCCTTATTCGTATGCTCCTCCGAGAAATAAAAAAGTGAGTGCTTGATTATTTTTTGCTTTTACACAATGTGGGAGTATTGCATTTTTACTTTGAAATGTCTGTGAACTTTGACCTTTTTTTTTAATAGCTTCTTACCTAATGATGTTCTATCGGCTTTTCTCATTGTAGCTACATATTTGTGGTTTACATATGTAGAAAAACACTCTGAAAATAAATTACTTAATTCACTGTAATCTGAGGGTAGTGATCTTTTCTGTTTCAGCAATCCTTCTTACTAGTGGGACGGGAGTAGTTAGAGTAATTTTTCAGGTCCCATAGGGTGTCTTTTGCCTTTTTCTCCACCTGATGCTGACTGCTTATAGCTTCTGTGCTGTCAGTAAACTTAAGGACCAGGTTTTATGCAAAGATTTGCTAAAGCCAGAAAAGCTATGTTGCTTTGTATGGGACCCAAAATAAATCTTTCTTGTCTGCCAGGAAGACTAAACTTCTGGTCTTGTGTTGTTCAGATGAGTGACTTCACTTAACATTCTTGGTACTTTACTTGAATGAAATAGAAATAATTACTCTTTTGTTCTTTGAGGGAATTTACTATTTTATTTCTGAGTACCTTTGTTACTTTTAAACAAAGACCCTGGTAGTTACAGGGCTTGGGGCTTTTTAGGTTTTGATTTAAAACCTTTATACTATTTAACTCCTAAAGGATCTTTTTATTTATGAATAAACAGAAATTCTGAAATATACTAACAGATCTTGTGTGTAGTTCTAAGTTCCATCAGTTTCTACACTTTAACTACTGTTTAGGGTAGCTCTGGAGTTGCCTAATGCATGGGGGTTTTTTAAGTGATTGACCAGGCTAGTGTAGGTAAACTGAGAGAATGAAGTAAATTGGCTGATTGTTGTTCCTTGGATGTGCAGATGGTCAGAAAAAAAGCTGTATTTATAAAGTATTTTTTTTAAATTTTAATATTTTATTTTTCCTTCTGGAATTAAATTTTTGATGACTAAGTAACTGACATGATGTCTCTCTTAGATAGTATTTCTGAAGCCAGGAAGTGTGTGTTTGTTTTCAGTTGTTGAACCATGCTTCCTTTGTAACAAGTGCTAATAATGCTTTATCTGTATGTTTACTGTGACAATTTATTTTTACTAAATGAAGATTCCCTAATTCATGATGAAGAAAATTCTGCTTTGTTACTTCAAGCACAGTAACACTGAAGACTCATTTTAGTCAATCTGTATATTCCACTGGTGGGTGGGAGTAGAAATTAGTGCTAAAAAATTTTTTGTCTGATGCCTCTTCAGATAAATACATACCATTGCTTCTGAGGCTGACTGCAGACCTCGCAATGGTATTTAGAGTCTGTCACTGACTCTCTGGGGCGTTAGATCTTAAGACTATAATAAGTTGACATTATTTGTTATTAAATTATTTGTAAAGTTTTAAATAAAACTTGAATCGTTGTCTCTAATGGTTGGGTTTGGATTTACCACCCCCCGTCATTATTGAGGATTTTTCTGTGTGATCTCAAAGGAGTTAATTCAACTGTGTTTCTCAAAATATACATCTAATAATTTGTATTAAGTTTTTTATAGCCACTTTGTGATATGCAAATCATGTAATGAATTATATGAGAGAACTTCTCACTATAGCTGTTCTTCATGGTATAATGAAATATAGGCTTGCTACGGATATTCTGAGGAAGGCCTTTGCATGTGACTGTAGGCTTGTTGCTGTTCTTTGATATGTTTCCTGTGGTCAGTACAGTTTATAAGAGGCAGTTTTAGAGACACTGCTGCAAATGACTGTTCAAGTTTTTTAGCATTGAGTTAAGCAATTCAGGGATTAAACAAGGTCTTCGAAGAAATTGGTATCAATAAGTTACATCTGTCAGAGGTGCAAGAGTATGCATGGGAAGATGTTTACCTAAAAATTTAATAAACCTACTAATACATGTATATAGTTAAAAACTTCTGAATTAGGTGCCTTCTTAAGTGTGGTACTTAGGTGTCTGGATGGTTCAATTTATTAAAATGTTTTTTAAAAAAAATTAAATAGATGGAACAGGGGAACTTCTTATAACCAGAAGATTTTGCATAGTATACAATGATATGCAGAGTTGATAACCAACATTGTAGACAACTGGTTGCATATAAAAGTATGTTTATTACTGTAATGGATTAATGTAATGTATTACTGTAGGGGGAGCAGAGCCACAAATTTTGCTTTCAGATTTTGTTTTATCAGTGTATTTAACTGGAATTTTAAAAATAATTCTGAATAAAATCTTGAGCACATCAACTTTTTAGAAGCTATAAACTTCTGCAATACACTGTACGTTAAAATTAACAATAAACTTTTTTGATACGTGAAAATAAAAGAAGTACGAGTAGTGACTTGTGATTCAGCTGAACAAGATGGCTAAACTGATCTAGGAGTTTGGTGCCAAAAAGGAGCAGGCTATGCTCTACAACCTTTCTTGTGCTCAGTTTGGTGCTCATCTAGTCCCTTAGTGAACCAGCTCAACTGCTAAAATGACAGAAAGCCATCTTGGCGAATGTTTCTCCAGATTGGCATGATGAGTCAGTTCAGCAAAGAATTAGATGAGTGCCAAAGCAGTGCAAGAGAAATAGAGGCCTGTGACTGAGCAAAAGGGAGCAGGAATAGTCACCTTCAGCTGCAGAAAACTGTTAAATCACTTAAGCCTGTCTTGTCTGACTGCACTCCTCTTTATATAGAGTTCTGAATATAACACACTTTCTTCCCCCTCCCTCTAGCCCAAGCACTCCTCCTACAAGGCAAGCTGAATATCAACTTACGCATTTTTGTTTCAACACAACAGGAAGCCGACAAGATCTCGAATTGTGAGAAAATTCATCTATGAAATTCTTAAACAGAAATAATTTGGAAATTTTTCAGGTGCTATCTCAAATGACAGTGTGATTAGTACAGACTAACCAGGAGAGGCTTCTCTACTAAAGATAACTAACACTTTCTAACTAACTGAACCTATTCCTGTCTAAGCTGATACATTATACCATTTGTTTTGAAAGGAAAGCTATTGGGAGTTGTTATTTAAAAAGTATTTGAAACAGGCTCTTGTAGTTCACACTGAATTCTGTAGTTACTTGGTCTCAATAGGCCATTGGTCTGACACAGCAGAATGCTTCTTTTTGAATGATGGAATTTTTTAAAATAAATACAGTATTTATTATTGTACCTTAAACTTTAAGTATGTTATATGGGGCTATAGTAATACACTGTACAATACATGTTAAGCTTCCACTGTTAACTTTTGTCTTAAGATAGAAACAAGATATAATATAAAACAACCCAACTTCCTTGAGCTTGTGTTTTGTAACTTTCTCCATTTCTTCTGAAAAAAGAAACTCATCATCGTCTGAATTAGCAGGACTTGGGCTTCTAGTGCTTGTTCAGATTCCCCACCAAATGTCATCATTCCCTTCTACCCTTCCCACGATGTCCTGTGACATCCCTGCTTCAAACTGTGTGGCAGCCGCTCTGTAGCTGTATGCATCCATATTGTTTCCTGACTACTGCCAAGAAGAAAAATATACACTTAATAGACTTTCACTTTGGTGGGGTCACCAATTTCTCTCATTTTAGTTTGGTGGATGTTCTTATTACTACAACTTTCACAAAAATCAGCCTTGGAACTGCTGTCAGATTTCCTTGAAACTAGCCATTAGCATTACAAATTCTTGGGAGCAGAGTGCCATTGGTGTATATAAAAACCTGAAGATGCTTCCAAAGTAGGCAGGGCCCATTACATGCTGTGTTCCTTTTCGTCTATCGCCTTCACGCCATCTGAGCTGTGCTTCAAAATCCTGTCTCCTCCCTTGCAGCTCTTCTATTGAGCATCTGCCTCCTGTACTTTTACAGCTTTTTCCTAATGATACGTTGACCTTCGAATCCCCTGGGCCTGACCTTTGCTGCCCCCTCTGCTCCCACCTCTGCCTGGGCTGAGGTTTGTGACCCAACCAGAGGGGAGCTGAGTCTTCATCTGTTACTGCAGTAATGCTTCCTGTGTTTATGTCACCAGTATCTTTTCAGGTCCAGAACCCAGCATGCTAGAGGCAGACTCGACTGTCTCTTGACAGAGCCCTGCCTTGTAATATGCTTAACTTCTAGTTAAGCCCTCACTGACATGGTGCTGTGTTCCCAGGCTGCATGCATTGTGCAGTTTTCCCTGCCCCTGGGTCCAGGCCCTGGGCTGGTGTTACACTTTTTCCCTTCTGAGACATGCTGCTGCCTTTGCTATCCTATAACCAGACCCAGCAGAGGGGTGTTGGCAGGAATTCAGGATGTGATTACATGTACCCAAACCCAGATTTAGTCCATTGGTTCAACTACTGGAGCCAGGGGAAACCTTCCTGTCCCCCAGGGGAAAAAAAAATCAGACCATCCCTGCTGGAGCAGTTACCAGTTAGGTCAGCTCATAACAGGTGACCAAGCATAAACCACATGGACTGCTCATAAGCTGTTGGAGAGCTAGTTCTTTCCACCCATCATGAGCTTAAGTTTTCAAATCATAGGACATAGTAGTATTTAAAGAAAACGTACCACATAATCAAGTGATATGAACATATGAATATGGTCTGGTGTATATAATACAACGAATTCTGGTGTGGCTGTCCTGGTAAACCTTCTGAGCTCATGGGCATCCTCTGTAGTTTTTATCAATTCAATTCCAAACCAAAATGAATTAAATTAGCAAAATTATTTCTTCTGCATTCCACCCCACCCTAGATGAGTATGTGGTAATGTTTGGATTTGAAGTATTTTTGCTGGCTTTATTTTTTTAGTGAAGTTTGGGTAAAGTAAGAAATCTTATTCTATATACATACATATATGTGTACATCTGTATTTAAAAGGGAAGACCTTTGAAATTGCAATGGCTGATGCTTAAGTGTAAATATACCTTTTGAAATCATATTTTAGTACTGCTTAACACCTTAGGAGTAAAGGAGTATTGTTTGCTTCTTTGTAAAGTGTATGTGAAAGGTGGTCTGTTCTAGTACAGTTCATGTTTTAAGAAAGTCTCTGCTGCTCTGAGTGTGGGTCTGTTATTTTCAGTCTTTGCAAAGGAGTGAACACTAATGTTTTTAGCATGCAAAACACTTGTTTTAATTACTTTTGTTTTCAACTGAATGGGACTAAAGGTAGTATTTTCTTTACTTGAACTCGCTCATGTGAAGCTAAGATTCAAATGGAAAACGTAAGGTTTTCCTTTTCCAATGTATGATTAAAAGTTGTGATGATGCATCAAGTATGTTATTTGTTCCACATGACATCTACATTTTGAACAGTAGATATTCAGAAAATAAAATAGCATGCTTCTTAGTGTGACACTGGCAAGAATTTTTTTGGCAGAAGCAGGCTTATGAAGGTATTCTATTTAATAAATGCTAGAAATACAAGATGGAACTTATTGTAACCTTTAAAGTACGTACTTAGAGTATGTAATTTGGAATACTTACATCCTTAGCAAACACTTGGAAATTTCATGACCTGCAAATGCTTTCAAACAGTTTATGAATTGCTATCTCAACAATTTAAATGTATAGGAGAGAAAGAAGAGTGCATTTTTTTGAGATTAATCTCCTTCAATTTACCAATTTAAGCAGAGGAATTTACTGGAAAATGTTTTCATCCAATTTTATTTCATTCGGCTATCAGATGAGTTACACTCACACATTCTCATGAATGTTTGCTTTGCCTGTTTCAGTGATCGCTGTGGAGAAGACCCAAACCAGAAAGTAATCCATGGGGTTATTAACTCCTTTGTTCATGTTGAACAGTATAAGAAAAAATTCCCCCTAAAGGTACATACACATTTCTGATTTATGTTTTCAATTTTTAATGTTAATTTAGTGTATGTATTATTTGTCCTTTTAAAAAAAAATCTCCTTTAAGTTTTATCAGGAAATTTTTGAGTGTCCTTTTCTGAATGAAACAGGGGAGTATTATAAACAAGAAGCTTCAAATTTATTGCAAGAGTCAAATTGCTCACAATACATGGAAAAGGTAAGAGATTCTTCTGTACGCCTGCAATAACTAAAATCTAATATTAATTCACTGATACATGATTTCCTGTACAGTTCCCATAGTTAATCTTTGTTGTATGCTTTCATGCATTTAAATTGTACTTTTTAGTGGCATGGTTAACCTGAATATAAACTGCAAACCTTGCCTATACAAGACTGGAAGTCAGTCCTTGGTGCTATACCGTCCATACTAACAGGATAGAAGAGTTGAGGAGAAGGCAGTGAGATGGCTTTTAACCTTAAGGAGCATAAGCAAATGGTCGCACACCTGAGGTGAAATTCAAGGACAGGCTAAGGCTTCAATTAAACCAAAATAAATGCAGATTTGTTTTGTCTACCATTAGCAGACTGTAGCTGCACTGCTCTCCCTAGGCTCCCCTCATATTCACTGGATAGAAGTACTTTTATGTCAGTATTCATATGACTTATTTTATGATAATGCATATTTCCTTCATTGAAGTTATAAAGAGAGATTTTATTAATAGCTCAGATATACTCCCATACTTTTTGAGCAGATGTTTACGTACGAGCTGATGGGTTTCAACAGTAAAGTGATTCTTACATAATTAGGTATTGTGGTAAAACTTTCTTAGAAGGAATGGTATGAGAAGTTGGGGGAGACTGGACACAAAGTTGGAGGGAAGAGGAACTTTTCAGGAGAAATACTGAGTGCTGTTAGACATCTAGTAGTGATTGAGCTTAGTACTCAAGAGTAGAAGATTGTATTAATTCAGCAATAGCCTGATTCAGAAGAGCTAATTCAGTTTTTCAGCATCCCAGACAAGTTATTTTTCAAGTGTGTTACTTATTTGTGTCTCTCATTCTACATACATACAATGTTGTATATTCATGGTTTTATATTGGTTGTATTTCATTAGCAATCAGCTTAACAACTTGTCTATAGGTTTTAGGTAGATTAAAAGATGAAGAAATGCGGTGTCGGAAATACTTGCATCCCAGCTCATATGGCAAAGTGATTCATGAATGCCAACAGAGAATGGTAGCTGATCACTTGCAGTTTCTACATGCAGAATGTCACAATATTATCAGACAAGAGAAAAGAAGTGGTAAGTCTCAATGGTCACAAAAAGTGTGAAGTGGTTTTTGGTTTATTCATTTAGTATTGCAACTTACTATCTTTATTCAATGACCTTCTATGGGTTTAAGCGTTTTCAACTAATACATGTTACTTATCTAGGAAGCTCAATTAAACCTGAATGATCTTTTCTTTTACCACATAATTCATTTTCATTCTTCCAAATATATAGTCAAACCCTTCTTTTTACTGTTTAACAACCCTTCTTTTGGCCAGTATTCTTTCTCTTTCTTTGTCTTAGTCGGCTTAAAACCACACTGAAGTCCTTTGTCCTGTAGAATGGATCATATTTTATGCTTGTGTTTTCATTTGTAAACCAATGGCTCTGTCATTACAGATTTCTTCATCATCATTTGACAGGTCAGGATTATAAAATGTTTTGGCTTTTTTTCATAGCCACTTTTTATTGTCCTGAATCTTTTGTGACCTCTCTTCCAAAATCCTTTTTACAGAAGCAGATGCTCTTATAGTTATATTCCCTGCCTGACTAAAAAAATTATGCTTCCTAATGACTACATGCCTCTTGAAAAAATGCTTGTTCTTGCATGGAAGATGGTATTTATTATGTGAGACAAACTATTTTTCACATTCAGATTGTTTCTAATTCAGTTTCCAGAGCTTTGCAAATTTGATCAGCTTGGATCCTTTTTTTGAAAAAAAAAAGTAATAAAAATATCAGTTGCTTATTTACAGCTTTTCTAACCTGAGACAAATTTTAAGCCACCACTGGAAAAAAATATAAAAAGTCAAGATGATGTCTAAACTGGTTTTAGTCAGTTGCAGCTAGGGAGATTTAGGGAGGCCAAGGACTGAAATAAACTATCAGTATACTTTGCCATTCTAGGCCCCTTCTACTCTTGGAGTCTCTCCTAAATAAGCAATATTGGAAGAGTGAGGTAGTCACAATGGCAGTACTCAGTAAATACTGATTATTAGCCCTATTCTTTCCTTTTTTAATTTTGTCAGTGATCCAGTGTATGTTAATTTTCAAAACAGTTGGTCTCGTTTCAGTCTTTGAAAAGTTCTGTGTGAATTTATGATACTATATTAAGTGTTGATTTCTTAGTGTTTCTAAGCATATTCTATAAAAATGTATCTCTGTTACAGACATGGCAAATATGTATACTCTACTTCGTGCTGTGTCAAGTGGTTTACCTCATATGATTCAGGAACTACAAAACCATATCCATGATGAGGGCCTTAGAGCAACCAGCAATCTTTCTCAGGAAAATGTGAGTTTCCTCAGGCAGCTGAAATTGCCTATTTGATTAACATTCCTGATGAAATGTTTACCCTTTTCTTTTTAGTCTATTCTGTTTTTTAATTTTGTCTATATGAAATTGGTTTGGAACATTATGGATAAATTGTAACTTCTAATCAGCACGCTTAGCTGTGCGACACATAACTATCCTGAGAGTTGATTGTTGTGATCTAACCAGAAACAACTGCAGCTAGATATTTCTCCTTGTTTGTTTAATGCTGTCATGGCAAGTAGGTCCTTTTGTTCCATGTATGTATCTTTTTTTCTGAATTTCTCTAAGTCAGTGGCATTTGCTATTCTGGTACATTAGGAACCAGTGATTCCTTTTAGTTTAACTACATGTTATTTGTAAAGACCTGACATTCTGCCCTGATTTCATTGTGGTGTTTTTCACTAATATCTTTGTAGTCTTATATTTTCATGTAATTCCTGAAAATACTGTAGCTTAATTATTTTTACTCAAGTGTGTGAAACTTTTTTCAGTTCATACATATTGCAATTACTCGATTCCATTTTTGTTTCTCTAAGAGCATTGCTGTTCAGAAACAAACGAACTTTCATTTGGCATTATACTTGTACATGTATACATCTTGCTGTCTAGATCTGTGCTCACTTCAGGATGGTGATTTTAGCCACCCAGTGTTTCTGTCTGTAACAATACATAGATACGAACTGTTGTTGTACATTCACTCTTTTATTGACTGCACGGGAGCGCTTACTCTTCCGTAACTCCTCTGTGCATACCGAAAATGGGTTGAAGTCTTAGTAGTATAGTTCGCTTTCAAAATATTTTTAGGTTTATTGAGCTTGTGCTTTCAAACTAATAGTGTCTACACAGGGAAATGAATGCAGAGCCATGAGGGTGATTAAAATTCACAACCTTATGTAGATAAATTCAAAATGTGATATACTTGCTCCGCTGTGTAGATTAAGTACTTTGTCATCAAAACACTTTTAATGTGTATCCTGAGAATGCACTTGGGGAGTCCCATAATGCAGCCGGTGCATTGTACACTGTTGCACTGCTGCCTGCCAGCTTGTCTGTGTAGGGACTCCTCTTATTCACATCAGTCATTTCTATACAAAATGTTCTGCTGAAATACGGCACGCTTAATTTGATCAGTAACTGTCCTGTGTGTGAAAATTCAAAGGGTTCAATTAGATTTTCTGTCTGTGAAGTCAGAATGTGTTGGAAAAGCAGCAGTTTACTGTACAGTAGCTTTTCAGCCTGGTTGCTATATTTACATGTTAGCATTAATGATTTTTGAAAGGACTAATAGAGGATTTTAGAATGTGATAGAAAAAGTTAGACAGCATGAGAGCAGTATAGACTCAAATCTATGTTTAATAGCAGGACTGTATATGTAGCCATAGACTATTTCTGAAACATGGTCCAGCATGGTAGTATGAATACAACACTTCAGAATCCATACTTTCAAAGACTTAATTACTATGATTTTAACTTGTCAAACAGAATAATTAGGAAAAAAAGCACAACAATTAAGATATGTTTTTGTGTAGATAATACTACTTTCCTCATTAACTTGCTTTCTGTTTTATCTGCCTTTTTTAGATGCCAACTCAGTTTGTGGAGTCAGTTTTGGAAGTACACAGTAAATTCGTTCAACTCATCAACACTGTTTTGAATGGTGATCAACACTTTATGAGTGCACTTGACAAGGTAACTTTTACTTAAGTGAAAAAAGCATTGGAAAACAAAATGTGGGACCCTGTTTCAGGCTCACCATATTTCTTCAGGACATCAATATATTTTCAAAGATAGGACTCTTATGTGGTTTTTCTAGTTCAGGAATGCAATGGAACAAAAGGCAATTCACTGTTAGGGGAAAATATATGTACAAATGAAACCACTTTAATACTTAAATGCTTTCTGAAAATAAGACCTTTCTTGTCATCAGAATTCAAAAGACAAAAATTGAGCTGACCCATTTAATGTAAATTTAAGTGCAGATAATAACTAGAAAAATTGTGGGGTTTGGGAAGTTTGATAACTCTTAGATGCATTTGAACTTGAATGTGTTTGCTGTCATAATGGTTAAACTCTGCATGCTAGTAGTATTACTTATACAGAAGCTTTGCTTAGATTTTTCAAGTTGACTACAAAGAATATCTGAAAACCTACATTTACTTCAATCACTGTCACAATAGCTAACTTTTTCCAAGAGAGAATTGCACTTGAAGTTAAATAAGCCTGTTCAGGTAAAGAGGCTTGCTGTTCTTTTCTCTGAAATGCATAGCCATGAAGGTATTTAAGATAACAGTTCTAATTGTTATAATTTTTTTATTATTGTTAATAACTAACCTTATTGTTCTTATTATTATTACTAAATTTTGCAAAACATTCGTGGGCTCTTGAGAGATTGAGTGGCTTCTCCTCAAAAAAGAAGTACATTTTATCTAGTCTGATAATTTCCCACTCTTTCCCATATCTCCTTGTATCTTTTTCCTAGAGAGTGCACTTAGTACTACTTTGCTATCCATAATTTCCTGTCACAGGATGCATGTATACATTTCATTGCTCTTTTGCAGTGTTTACAGTAATCAGTGTTTGTTGTTAGGGTCATAGTCTAAGATTTGATAATTTTTAGCCAAGGTTAATCTGGTAAAACATAGTGATGAAGATACCAGTAGTAATATCAATTGCAGTTATCCCTTTGTATTTGTGATATTGAGAAAATAACTACTTAGTATTTTAAAACAAATACTTATTTCAGTATCCTAATACATTTCTGTCTCAGTTGCAATTAATGTTGTGTACCAGAAGATGGAGTAATATGAGATTGACAACTACATATGCTAGCACATAGGCAATGTACTTTTTCCTTAAATACGTCAATTCTTCATTTCAGTAATCTTTATTACAATAAATATTTAGAATCTTAATCTGCTGACAGTTTTTCATGGTGGATATTAAAATTGCTATTGTTGCCTCCAGTATTATTACAAAAGAGTATTCTAAGCTTCAAAGAGTTTTGTAGTCATGCATTCCTTTCTCACGGGGATTCTAGGGACTTATTATCAAATATTGGAATGTTGAAGCATTGTTCAAAAGAGTTTCTTGTCATTTCTTCTTTATAATAATAACATTAATAATGTTTTCCTTCCATAGAAGGCACTATAATTCCTCGGGACTACAATCATGCAATATTTTTGGTTCAGTATTAGTTCAAATTGTTCATTTAAATGTGACATGTAGTTTAGAAACTAATCTTGATGATTCCGATATCTGTGTTGACAGTTGACCTTTTTTTAAATTCACTTTTTACTTTAGATTTACTTTTATTTCCAATTCTAAACTGGGGTTATCTCCTTCCTTTTCTTTTTCATCATATTCAGGTTTTCTTTGGCTGCTACATGTTTTCTGTACAGCACTGCTTCAGATTTCCACTTTGAACAATATTTTTTTTCCTCTTTATCAAAAAATCCCACAGTGAAAAGATCTTTCCTTTCTTACTGTTGTGAGCACACCATGTATGTTTTTCAGCTCAAGATACATGCCGTTGATGTGCTGCTGCTCAAATCTACTTTATCTGCAATTATTCATCAGTTTCTATCCATACTTTTGGACCATACATATTGCTGTATACCAAAATCTTCATACTTTTACATTTAAGTTTCTAATTAGAACTTTATTTTTCATTTTCTTTCTGCAGTTAACTTCTGTTCCTCTACCCTTTCTACTTTTACTTAAATCTCAGCAAAGATCTTCAACACACAAATTCTCACAAAGCAGTAATTGAAACTATTTTATTCATTGTTTCTTTTTTGATCCCTTATTGTGTAGTTCAGTTTTACAGGGTCTTGGATGGTCTTTGTCCGGAACATTTTTTTTATTTCTTCAAATTTAATGAAAGAAAAAGTTTTAAGTAATTTATATTTTTTTATCTTTGCTCTGTGTTCCTATGTAGGCTTTGACATCAGTAGTTAACTATAGGGAGCCCAAGTCAATCTGCAAAGCACCTGAGTTGGTAAGTGATATATTTTATTACTGTAGAAAGTAATAATGCTTTTTTATAACTGTCAAATGAATTAGTGTAGGGTTCATCACATGACTCTCTGTTTCTCACACTGAGTCAGCCTCAGGTGTGTATTTCAGTGGTAATAAATAACCTGCACATGCACACACATTTTGTGGTTGTGCAAAATTGGTGCAGTTGTAATTTTTGATTCATAATTTGTATTTTCTGTGGATGTAGTATGTATTGTTCACCTGTGAATGCAGCCCTTGTAATAGAACATGAGAGTGTAGACTATGACTTATTTCATGCCTTAACTTTTGTGTAGAACTTTGGAATACCTTGGCATACATTTGTTCTCAAGCTTGACAAGTAGGTTTGGGCTTGTTTTTTTCTTTTTTTAACTTGAGCTGGCCAAGTACTGTGACAACTTGTTGAAGAAATCAGCAAAAGGAATGACAGAGAATGAAGTAGAAGACAAACTTACGAGTTTCATTACTGTTTTCAAATACATTGATGACAAAGATGTGTTCCAAAAGGTAACTGTTGATATTCTATAAATGTTAAAATGTTACATTTAAAGTATACATGAAGAATATGCTTATATTTTTAAAAATCCTCATATATGATTTTTTTAATGCAGTTCTATGCCAGAATGTTGGCAAAAAGATTAATTCATGGTTTGTCTATGTCTATGGATTCTGAAGAGGCCATGATTAATAAACTAAAGGTAATGTAATATTCTTCTAATGCAGAATAAACAAACGTAGGAGTATGTAATGTTGAGAGGGAGCAGCAGAGGGTGTCAGAGATAACTTAACAGTCAGTAGATCTTGTTTCCAATAGCTGAAGGGAAAAACTAATTTCTTGGTGGTCTATAAAAGACGTATGGGCCAGCATCACCTAGGCATTTCAGATTTTTATGAGGTTTTGGGTAGCTTTATTAAGTGTGTTCAAATAATTCATAATTACATTATAAAAGTACCAAGGACTTTCAAAAACTAGCTTTATCTTTCAATTTTATAAAACTACACTGTTCATATAAATCAATGTATAGAAAGTGAAACTAAGACAAAAATCATAATTTGCTTGTATAATGTTTTCTATTGTAGCTAGTGTTCTCTGTAAATGTTATAACGCATATGCTGACTAGATTTTCATATTTTAGTAGTGAATGTGCATAATTTATAATAAATACTGTTTTCACTGTGAAACCTGTTACAATATTTCTTCACAGCAAGCCTGTGGTTATGAATTTACCAGCAAGCTCCATCGAATGTATACAGACATGAGTGTTAGTGCTGATCTCAACAATAAATTCAACAACTTTATCAAAAACCAGGACACGATTATAGATTTGGGAATTAGTTTTCAGATATACGTTCTACAGGTACTAATGTATGTTTATTACTATTGAGTTATTTGTACTTAATTTTTATGTTTCAATAACAAGTGAACAATTTTTCTGACTATGAATACTTCTCATATGGAAACGGACACCTTGTGATCATTGTGAAATAATTTATTTTCCTAGCATTTCTTTTTAAAATTAATCTGCTAGCACACTAAACAATAGTGATGTAAAATGCCTTGTTCTTGTCTTGAATTAATACTTTAGTGGAGCATGCATAATGAGCAGTAAAAACTGAGCAGTAAAACTTCTGGTGTAAACTGAATGTCTTATGGCATAATATATACTATAGATCTGTTTAATAGTGTTACTTTTTCTTAATGTAATGAAAATGTTAATGCTTTTATTTTTCCCAATACCTTTAGGCTGGTGCGTGGCCTCTAACTCAGGCTCCTTCTTCTACATTTGCAATTCCTCAGGAACTGGAAAAAAGTGTACAGATGGTAGGTTAGTAGGGGGCTTCTTGTAAACATGTGGAAGATGTAAAATAACTCCAAATAAAAGATGATCACTCTAACAGAGAAAAACCTGAGCTGCTTCATTTTGCTTGTAAATTGTGGCTATCCTGTTTCCAGTCCATACAAAATTTGGAAGGGTCACCCAAATGCCATATTGAATTTACGTATGTATTGCATAGCTTTTCTGTATTTTTCACATCTCTCTTCTACACTTCGTGATTAATGAGGGAGATACTAATAAATACAATCAAATGAACTGAATTAATTCTTAGCTTTAAAACCAATTCCTGATATTTAGATAAAAGAAGATTTTGTTTCTAATAATAAATCTGAACAGATTTAATAGCAGATTAGAATTCCGACACAGGTTTCTTGTCCCATATTTCATAGGAGCCAGTCAAAATCAGGCTTTGTGGAAACTTCTTTTTATGAATTCTCAAAGCAGTAAAGTATTTACTTTGGCCAAATATTCTCTTTTTATGTGATTATTTCTGCTTTGTAGAAGTGGAATATTTTATTACTTTTGATTATATTACTGTGTTCTAAAATACTACCTGTACAATGTTTGTGTTAAAATACAGAATATGTGTGTTGGTCTCTGCTGAAGTGTATTTAATGGTGAAGTACATTTTAGGCAATAAAAAATTCATATCACTGAACACAAGAGATTTTTTTTAAAGCTGTTTTTTTAGCTTAAATAGCTACCTCATGTAAATTATCATGGCAAATGTCTGTTCCTGTGGTAAAGGAGCTTTTTTGTGGATTACTACTAAGTATTAGAACAATTTACTCTGCTTTTATTTCCACTGTATTAAGTGATTAAGTGGCACTTGATTTTAACAATGTAATAGTTTACAACCCATCCTATGGGATCCACAGAAGGTGATAATTGACATTTTGCTGGGTTTTATGGGCTTAAAATAGGAGTATTGTCAGTTGTGCCTCAGTTGGAACATCATTACAGAGTTGCATATCAGAAGCAGCTCAGAGTCTGGGTTGCTTGCCTCACCTCACTGTTTTGCCAGTTTCAAGGAGCAAACTTATTCATTTGTCACCTAGCTAGAATTAATGCTCTAAATTATAATTCCCTGAGGAAACAGAACATGACCTCGGGGAGTCTTTGAAAAATTGGCAATGTCTGTCTCTACTATCAAATTTGATCATTTGACACATGAAGAGAGAGTTCTTTCAGGATTCTGGCTGGGATTTAGAAGGAAAAAAAACATTTTGCAGTTGCACTCCAGAGTATGGAAACACCTCTGTAACTGGGCAAGCTGTTTAGCAGCTTTTCAGGCTCAAAGGCTGATGGAGCTTCCTATAAATGTGTATTTATTTTAATGGAATACAAATACTGGTTTTCATACTATGTAATCTTGTGGGTGGAGAAACACCTGATTCTTAAAGAGGTCAAAAGTCCTCCTTTTTGTATTTTCCTTTGATGTTAATCAGAGTTGCCAGACCAAATCAGAGTAAGCCAGATTGATGTGTACACAGTGTTGGCTACATGGGGTTTAGGGAGGTTTGATCCAATTTTAAGGAAATGTTTTTCAAATCTGCTTAAATTATTCTCATTCCCAGAATGTAGTTAGACCTCAAATTAGGATTAGTCTGCAAGCCACGCTTTCTTGATTCTTCCAGATAAGAAGTATGAGAGCAAATTTTATTTTTTTTTTCCAAAAAGAAGCTTAAATACTAGAACTAAGGTAACTAAGGTTTAGCAGGCACTTGCCAATATATGCAGTCTGATTTGTTCCTCTTGGCTATAGGGGATTAAGGTCAGATTTATATTTTCATTTTTCTGTTGGCTTTTCAGCTAAATTTCAGTTATTTTCAGAGGACATCCAAGAGGATGCTGTAGCTACTAAAATGCTAATAAAAATCCTCGATTTTGTAGTCCTCCTTACAAGCAAAATGATCATAGTCTGATATTACATATGTTAAAATAAAATACTGCATTTTACAAGCCTTGCCATAAACTTCCACTTTAGTCTTTGCAGAAATTCTTCTTTTCCTTCCTATCAGATTTTTCTGTATCAGTTTAACCCACAGAATAAGCAAGCTAGAAGCCATGTCTTCAAAAGGTTTTAAAAATACTCTGGAATATTTTTAGTTGTTATTCAAAATGAAGTGCTTCCTTTTTTTTTTTTTTCCCCAGGGCTTTTTCTTATTCTCTCTCCATTGCTTGCAAGTTTCCAGGAATGGCAGGATTGATGATATATTTTCATATATAATATGAAAATAAGATGATTTTACTGCTCCTCTGTAAATTTGGTTTTTCTTATCACAGTCCACAAGTCATTTATGCTCTTCCTTTCTTTTCTTCTCTGTTGGTTAAAATAACATCTAAATGTACATAAATACAGCTTTGAAAGACTATTCTACGAATTGCATTCCTAGAGTCTTCTGGAAAGTGGTCTCATTTACAGTAGCCAGATGTGCAATTTAGTGCCTGATTTCAAACTGCATAGTTAATTTTCACTTGCACAAAATCAAAAGGAGAGAGGAATTTTTAAGTTGCTTTTAAGGCCTTTTCTTGTTTAGAGGTTTTTTGGTTTTTTATTCCTGTTCTGCTATATATTTGTCTTTGTATAATTTCAATATCAGGAAAAAATACTTTTCCAGAATGATTGATGTAGCACTTCTCATAATGACAAGAAATTATTGTAAAAATCAAACTAAATCATAATTCTTTGTGAAAATACGTTCTGTAAGGTTTCAACAGAAATTCGAGGATCTGTACTCACTTATTGATTCTGTGATGTTTGCAAACTGTGTAGTTGTATCTAGCATGAAACCCAAATTGGAAGGTGGTAAAAATTGTGCCCATTTTCAAGCATGCTGTTTTGAGATTGCTCCTAGAAATACGTTCAGGAATGTAAGATGAGATTTGTCATGAAAATCAATGTGTGAAATACCTGTTAAGTAAAAGTTTATTTTTTTTGAAAGATGTTGTTAAAAAAAATCAGTAAAATGGGTTTTCTGAATTAATTTTAAATAGGACATCAAAGCCATAGATTATTGCATGGTTTCATCAAGGTGAAAAAATAAAAATACACCTGTTTTTATATGGAATTGGAAGGAACAAAATAATAAAACGTAACAAGATTGATAGCTAAAACCTCCTAGAAATTCTTTTAAATTCAGTAGAGTTGATACTTATTCGGAACACTCTAACTACAGTATTTTATGCTTTGAGAGTATGAATATGTCAACAGTCTTTTTGACTTATTCATCAAGTGATATGTTAATATGTTCAAGTAATTCAGTAAATGACTGATGCTCAGTCATCACCTATCTTCTAAAGGAAAATATAGTCATGAAGTGGTCTGCAATGTTTGTGTCCAGTATGGTGATTCTAAAACCAGTATTTCTTCACTGGGGTGGTAGTGTGATAATAAATTATTGTGAGTAGTTATATATGTGACTAATTGAAGTTCATTTTGTTTTGCAGTTTGAATTATTTTACAGTCAGCATTTTAGTGGAAGGAAGCTTACTTGGTTACATTATCTTTGTACAGGTAAAAATAAGTGCTTTGCTAAACTTATGCTTTATACAACTGACATTTACTTGTTGAAAGTCTTTTTCAAATGGCAACAGACTTTGGAGTTGGAACATTATGTTGCATTTACAGTCAGCTGACTTACTTTGCATTTTAAACTAATATTTGCTGTTTAGTGTTCAAAAAATTTGTTTTGTAAATTTGCATGTGTTATCTGTGATTTATTTAAATCCAACTAAAACTAGAATTGTGCATTCTTAACAGTACTGCAGAACTGTTGAAGTTACTAACAATTGCCTGTAATTGTTTCTGTAGTATCAGATACCCCCTAACTGAATATGAAATAGTATAATATGCATTCTTAAAATTATTTTACTCAGATATGTAAGTATCTATGATAAATATTTACTTATGTTTGTATTTACTGTACAGAAATTTATGTTAAAATACATCTTAGAAGAGATATATAAAGTTGTAATTTCGTTTAGTACATAGTAGTCAATCATATTTTATTTCAAGTGCTTTCAGTATCAGGCTTTAATGACTGAGGACCGCAACATATTACATGGAGGTGAAAACCAGACTAGCATACAATATAATATGATGAAAATTTAGTTCTGGTAGTAGAAGATTGCCGTTAACTCACTGTCACCTTCACACAGAACATCTAAATCTGCTTTCGGGCAAATTTCTTCAGTACTTTTTTTTTCTTTAATTTCAGGGGAATTTAAAGAATATAAGAATATTGTGAAAATTTTTTAGTGAACAAGTCTGTTATTTTGTTTTTAAATCTTTCGTTGGAAACACTTTCCTGTAATCTCTATTCTGTGATTCTCTGTAAGCTATTACTAATTGAAGTTTATGCATTGCAATGCATTGAGGCTATTTGGAATTTCCTTTTTTAATTTAAATTCAACACTGTAGGTTTCCTTTTTTATTGAAAACAGTATTGTTCTAGTATTCATAGTTAATCAGAGGGAGTTTTGTTGCACACCACATTCTATATGTGTAAATTCACACCACCAGTTTCCATCTTCCTATTCCAAGTGTTAAATGCATACTTAGGTGTGAGTTTAATGTCCAGAAATGTACGAGGAGCTCTAGTAGTTAGGCTTCAGATGACTTTTCAGCACATTCCATCACTTTATAAAATACTGCTTCTATCATTACAGGTGAAGTAAAAATGAATTATTTGTGCAAACCTTATGTAGCCATGGTCACAACATACCAAATGGCAGTGTTGCTTGCCTTCAACAACAGTGAAACTGTCAGTTACAAGGAGCTTCAGGATAGTACACAAATGAATGAGAAGGAACTGACAAAAACCATCAAATCCTTACTTGATGTCAAAATGATCAACCATGATTCAGACAAGGTATGGCGTAAGGATATTAAACAGTTTTGTGTTTTCAGCCTTGTGATTCTAATATTTGTTAAGGGCTTATTTTAATATACTACAATAGGACTTTTTTAATATAATAGCATCTACTCTTTCCCCTTTTTTTTCTAAACTGTATTATTGACCCTTGTGAACAGTTATATATCTGTATTTATGAGGAAAGAGATGGGAGGAAGTAGACTGTGTCATATAGGCTCACTATGCCTGTAACAGCATGGTATGTTGAAAAGGTAATAATGCTAGGACTGTTTATTGTTTCTGTTGCACTTCATCGACATGGCTTTAGATTCACTGCCATTGGACGGGAATGCTCTTTAAATACACCACTTTAAAAGTTGTACTGAATTGTGGGAAGAAGCCTGAGTAGTCAACTTAAGAGTTTACAGAAATCCTAAAAAAAAATCTGTGGAATTAATAGACTGAAAGCAACCACAACCATGTTCTTCCTTGCTAACAGATTACAGGAGGAGGAAGGAGGAGGAAAGAAAGCAAGGAGGGATTGTGTAAGAGGATTTTTGCTGCAATTTGCCAAACTCTATCCTTCCATGAGTTTCATGGAATTCCAGTGATACCTGAGCTTTGTTTGTGGTTATGGCAATGGTTGATACAGGTTCTGTTCCTGACTCTGCCTCATACTTTTGTACAACCTACATGAACTCAGTTACCATTTTTCCCCATACAGCGAAGGGCATAGATGTCTGCTGTGTAAGAAACACTACAGAAGTGCCTGTGTGTACCATACAAACTTTAGCATGTGCTTCCAGCTAGCACGAAAAGCCTGTTATTCAGAGAGTATCGGGTAGAAGAAACTTGAGATAAGCCGTTCACTTATGAGATGAAATCCAAAGCTGCTCTGATAGCTGTTTTTTTTTTTTTAACCACAAAAATATTAGAAAATGGTGAGATCACAAGGAAAGTCTGATGCTTGACTGAAGCATAGGACCCGCTTCTCATATCTAGAAATGAGCTCAGGTTGGAACAGTGGCTGGGAAGATGTCTGTTAACCCACGGGTGAAATATAACCCTGGGAGCTATTAAAGAAAGCAGTGAGGTTTTTCAGAATTGTAGAAAGTTGCCCATTATATAAAGGATTTACATTTATTTATGTCTGCTGTATAAGGTTTCCCAGTTTCTTTAAGCATATGTCATGGAAGAGTGAATGATAATTTTCCAACCCTTTTACCTTTTAATATTTACCACTACATTTCTGGTTCTTTAACTTCCAGGGTACGTATTCAAACGTCTCTGCTAATTCTGTTTTCTTTGCACTCCATCCAGCAGTGTGAAAGCAGATCTGTAGACAGTCTATCAGCTTACTTATTGAATAAGCCAGTGAACTTCAGTGGCTTAAGCAATGAAATTAAATACAGTAACTTCTCTTAACCTGTATCTGAGCCACACAGAAAAGTACATTGTGTTAAATGTTGAAGTTTACTGTTGTTTGTTTGGGGTTTTTTGAAAGAGGGGAAGAAAAAATCTTTTGGCAAAATCTTTGTTGGTTTATTGGAATCATGCCTTTTGAGTTCAGGCACAACACAATTTATTTTGGTTTATACTCAACCATGTAAGCAGAATAATGCTAAAATTTAATGGTAGCTTATATTTTTTAAAGGTGTTGGTCTTTGCCCTTTCATGTTAAATTTTCTATACTATGCCTGAATATTATAAAATGTTATAATAAAGTATATTTGCAGAATATAAAATTAGAATTAATACTGTTTTGAGTATATATTTAGATAAATATTGACTGTGTTTATACTAAAGTATTTGCACTTGAGGCAACATAGTTTGGCAAGATTTCAAAGCCTAAGAAGCCCAGTACTTCATTCTGCTGGAAATTGGTAGTACTTGTACAGAATCTTGCCTGGAAACTGCAAAGATTGGTCAGGTCATCCTGTTAGTTGAATGTAAAGATGTTTGGACTGCAGGGACTAGTTACTGTTTATTGAAAGAAACGGACTTTTACATGTGGAAAAGAATTGAGATTCTGAAAGGAAAGAATTAGAAATGTACAGATGGATGTGGAACTGTAGAAGTTGCAGCTTATCAACAGTTTCTCCTATAACGTAAGAAAAAATGCTTAGATGGTTTTCCTTAAGTTCTGAAAGGCAACATTAGTAATAGTTGTGAAAGGAGCAGCTCGCTCTCTTGAGGTTCTGCCTTATATAAATGCAAATCCTACTTTCTTCATAGGGAGAAAATGAGTTTAAATGGAGAGTGCTTGCAACTAAGATGAGCTGTCAAAGTATTAAAACAGAAATTACTTTAATCATATTAACTTGTTAACAAAATTCATGTATTTCAGAGTTCTTTATAGTGTTTTCTAAAATAGATTTCTAGGTTAGTTAAGCGGTAGCTTAAAAGGTTGACCTCATTCAAATGGCATTTTAGAATTTCCAGCTACAAATCTGAAATTGTTTGTATGTATGCAAGCCCCTAACTGTGATTTTTCAATGTAAATTGTTATATTTTCTGGTTCCATTTCTGTTTTTTTAAAAAAGTTTCTTTATTGCAGGAAGATATAGAGGTAGAGTCTACGTTTTCATTAAATATGAACTTCAGCAGTAAAAGAACAAAATTTAAAATTACTACGTCAATGCAGAAAGACACGCCACAGGCAAGTACTCTTTGGTGCTTCTAGCTTGAACAGCTTAGGAAGCTTATTTTTCTAAAATTGAATTTATTGTATTAGTTTGGTGTAAGCAGATGGACAAGTCCCTGTGTAAGATTACAACACTGTAAATTATTTAAGTTTAAAGCTTAAACACTGCATATTTTTTTGTACTTAAAATATAGGTAGGAGAAGATGGAGTAGGGAATAAGAAAGTATAAGAAAAACAAGAGCTATTTTTCTTGTATCAGGTGTGATTGACATTTAACTTGTCTTATGTAATGAGACATTTTTGTTTGTGGTGTTTATAAAAGCAACTTATTTCCAGAACAGCAGAACTAATCAACTCTACTTTCTTATGGCTTTGTGTCCTTTGGCAACTAAAATTATCTCCAGTGTTGATAATCTGTGTTTCCTCTGTATCTCCTAAAACACTGGATTTTGTACAAGAGACGTATGTGCTGCCAAACTCAATACATTATAGTAAATTCTGCCTGCCTTTCTCCCTAACAAAAATGCTGGTTTGGACATCTCTTCCCTACCTTCCTGCTTGCTTTCATGAAACCTGGTATTCTTCATTTATGGAAGTACTTTGCCTGGAATTGAACTTCACCTAGATTTTTGTATTTATTGACCACTTCTAATAAAGTAAGAAGTATAGATTCAAGATACTTTTATGAAGTGTTTATCGATCTTAATATATTTTAAGCATTACTGTTCTTCCTGTATTGCAGGAGATGGAGCAGACCAGAAGTGCTGTAGATGAAGACAGAAAAATGTATCTCCAAGCTGCTATAGTCCGTATCATGAAAGCACGTAAAGTGTTGCGACATAATGCTCTTATTCAGGAGGTAAGATGAAATCCTCTTTTTAAGCATAATTTGATGAAAATCTTCAGCATAGTTGGGTAAAACATCTGACCACAGAACTCTTCCATGTCAGAACTAATATCTCAGTGAAATTAGTGAGAGTTTCACTGGAGCCTACTTTGAACTGCAGTACTGGAGCACTACCTGTGATCCCTCAATCTTGTAAATGTGTCTTAGCACTAAAGCATTAAGTGTCTGTGTTTGCTTTTTCCTGTTGGCTGGTTCTGGGCTGACATGTTGTATCATTTAAGAATCATTGACAGAGCTATAGGTTCAGTTGAAAACCTGAGTAAGGGTATTGTAGGTATGGGATTTCCAAAGAAGCAACGAGCCGATTTTGAGCTCTAATGCTGATCTTATTCTAATTCATGGCTTAAATTTTTTAAGTTGTCTGAGTATGTAGATATGTATTTCTTAATCTTCTTTTCCCATTAAATGGTACAGTTGTCTAGATTTTTTAGGTTCTGCATTAATGATCTATGAACTATCACAGACTGGCTGGGAAGGAAGTGCTATTTCTTTTGGGTTCCTCCCACTTTCCCATTCGTGCTAGTTGCCTGCCCAATTGTATTTCTTATTCCAACCTAGCCTTTCCTCCTACCAACCAGTTCTCAGTTGAAATTTTTTCAGCCTTCCAAGTATTCTTCAGTCTAATTCATTCTTGAGTCTCCTAAATCTTGCAGGATAGCCTCAGAGTGGACTGGTGGGAGAGGAAATAAAGATTCCTGCTTTATTCAACCATTTTGAGCATGGAGGTGGAGAAGCATTCAGTCATTTTGAGATCTGCTGTGTGCTGTGGTGATGGAGGAAAGTTTACCACATCCACCACTTAATTTTTATTTCCTAAAATTAATAAGCAGCTACGGAGAGTTTGTAAGCCTAGAAATGGCAATGTGAGACATCTTAAAGGTTTTGGATATTGAAATAGTGCTTGTACACAAATACTCTCTGAAAGCAAGCTTAATTTAAGAAATCTGATTTTGAATATCTAAAAGATGCAGCAGTGTAGGTCCTGATTATTCTCAAAAGCTTTAGTTATTTGGTTTCCTGTTACTTAAATCATCCATGCAATTATGATGGAATCCTGTAAGAATTTACAGCTAAAACTAGAAAATGGTAGGCAAACTCTGTTTCATCTTTAAAAATACTTTTTTCACCCTACTCTCAAATTCCTAGAAAAAGTTTTCAAATTGTACTTTGCTTGAGACCAGTTTATAAAGTGGAATAGACTACAAATGTTTATGTGTTGGAAACAAAAAATCCTTTCTGATGGCTTCTTCCTGTATTTAACTCGAGGAGCACTGTACAACATGCCTCTGCTGCATTCTGCTCTTGCAGTACTCTTGCAGAAGAGTATGGTCTATTAACATCACAAGCTTTTTCATGCTTTGCAAGAAAGGTGGCTATTTTGATTATTACTCAGTTACAAACTAAATAGAGAGTAAAGTTGGTGCTCCATTCATCTGTCACCAGCCACATCCACCCTGTATTGTTTTTCCACCCCAGCTTTTAACTAAGTTTATGACACTTTTGAAAATCATATCCTTTATTATTTAGTCTTTGGTTCTCAGTTTTGAATACTATTTAAATCCCAGATGGATTAGAGAGTTTAAAAGGCTAGGCTTCTATGTAATTGATACCACTGCTGCAGTATAGTGTAGGGACCTGATGTAGCCTTAAATGAGCAGCTGCAAAACCTTAAACAATAAGGTGAAGCAGTACAAAAATCCACTAGGGTTAATTTTTCCTTCTTTTGCACTCTGAATTAATTTGTGCTAGTCTCCATGCTGCCTTAGTTGAGCTGTTACTGGGACCTGAGCTTTATTCTTTAAAATGTTAGGTGTCTTCTCTACAGTCTGTGCTACAGATGTACCCTTAGGCACTTGAGAAATTATTACCAGGTCTTAGAGCAAATTGTGAGGAGACATGTTTTTGTATAGTTAATGCTTAAACACGAAGATGAAAATCTCACGTTGAGTGGAAATTTTACCTAGTTATGTCTGCATTGAGCTCAGTAACTTGTTTTGCTTCATGTTGTATGAATAAGGCCAAACTACCAGGTGGTTCTAAGTTGAACATGCTCAGCTTTCTCACTAGACTGACTTTTATTATAAAATTAATAACCTTCAATTCTATTAAACTTTTAGAGTATGCATAACTAACTTGGTTGTCTAACTTCCTTTTTTTTTTTCCCAGTTAACCTTGTAGTAAGATTTCATTTACTGTCAAAAGACTTTTTATTTCTTAAAACATTAGTTTATAATATTGTTACTAATGTTACTTTTATCATGATGTTTATATATTATATATCATTTATTCACTTAAAATTTCTAGTCTGACTTCTTGAGGATTAAAAATTAATCTTTGGAAAGGAAGCATTTACTATGAATGGTTAATATTTTCTCACCTCTTAATAATTTTTTCTGAGATATAAGGGTAGGATTATACTGTTATTAGAGATATGATTGAAAGACTCCTAGTCTTAACGTTGTTAAGTCTGATTCTAACAGAATGCAGCACCACACATTTAATTTATGGTGAGGTATCCAAGAAAATACTCAAGGCTATTGATAGGCCTTTATGTGTCAGAATGTAGTCTTTGCTGAATTGTTAATTGTGTTAAGATATGTCCTTACCAGTCATTACCAGAAAATTTTTTATTCTATCAAGTATTCTTATCTATCCTTCTTAATTGTATTATCTTTGATAAACCAAAACAAAAAAACACCTTACCAATACAAAATTCTAGTTTTTGTTCTCTCTGTCTTAAGTAAATGCATGTAGTATGATGATAACCATCAGTTTGAGTATAGGGCTGTGAAGTTAGGTGAAATCTGAGCAGATATATTAGCTTGCTAGCACCAAGTTTCTTCTCATTTGTACTGCTGTGGAACATACCAGACCCTTGGCTGCTAGCCCAACAAAACTCACTCTCTTGAGATTTTTGTTTGCTTTGCTGGGTGAGTTCTACCTGGTGAGTTCTCTTGGCTCACAGAGGGCTTCAGCAAGCTCTAGAGCTGGGACAGAGCCAGCCATGAAAAGCTGTAAAGAAAACAGGAAATCCAGCTGAAATAAAAATCACTTTCTTTACAGAACAAATGAGAAACTACAGGCAAAATGTATTGTGACACTTGAGTAGGAAGATCTTTTGTTTGAAAAATTTTCCAAGTTAATAGGTATGCGTATTCTGTTACTACACACCATTTCCTCCTCTTCTCTACAAGAGAATGGGCAAAACTACTAAGAGACATCTGAAGTTTTTCCTGCAGTGGCAGTTTCTTCCACAATACATATATAGATTTGTTTTTACAATAAATAATTTTGTATTGTATGTATTAAAGTTCCATTGTAGCCAGATGGAACTTGCCAAATTGGAGGTCTGTGCAATGACTGAAGAAAGAGAGGTTAATCTTGATTGTCTCAAATTGTATAGGAAAGGAGGTCAGCAGCAGGGGGACTCCACTTACACCTTCCAGGCAGCTGAGCAGTTGGAGTGCCTTCCAGGACTGCTCTACATACATACATACAGCTCTACATGGGCTGGAACTTAGACAAAACACGACAAAGACAGCTTACATCTGATCATGTCCTGGCAGCTGCAACAGCAATAAAGTAGTGTAACCTTACAAAATGTTTACTAGTTGGGCTGTGTCTTTTGTGATGGGAAATGTCATCTAGGACTTTTAAGCAAATTTCACAAAAAAGAAGTGTTATTTTTTTTCTTGCAAATTTGATTGTCTAGTGCAGTACAAACTCTGAGGGTAGGCTGTAGGCTTCATTTTTAATATATTTAAACTGTGTCATTCAAGAATGAATAAGGTCTTGCAACATTATATTCAGGTTTTTTGGTTATTTGCAACATGGCTTTTTAATGCTATAAAGAAAATACCATTTTCACAAATCTTTATTAAATGAAAATGTTTTCTCTATCTTTTTATGATAACAAAAGTGGTGAAGGATGAGAAGAAAATTGAGTTCAACTTTAGAGGCAGTTTTGAAAAATACAATCAAGTGAAATTTAAGCATTCAAAATTGCATAAACTATTATGAAAAATAAGATTAACACATTCTTCAGGCATTTAATTTCTGAGTGAGACTGCCGTAACTCAAATAAAATTTTTCAGAATAAATATTTCAGAACAATGAAATTATATAAACAGAAGTAAAAGGGACCTAGTTTAGGAAGAGAAGTCAGTTAGCAAAGCCAGCATGGAAAGGTATATGGTTTTACTAAATTTTCACTTTTCTTGAAGTGTGATAATGGTAAAGAAATGTGTTCATATTAGATTAATATTTAACCTGAATATTTCTCTTCATTTGTACCATGACAAATTAAGCAATCATGAGGACTGAAAAGATCTGATTAGCATGAAGGCAAACTGAACCAGTGAGCCTGAGCAGTCAGTTTAAGTGTCCTGGCACTAATGTATGAAGATGCTTTGTTGATTGTTAGAAATGAACTATTCCAAGTTTATTTAATTCTGTCTTTAAAACGAAAAATGTCCTGGATTTATCTTAAAACACTTAGTGAATATTTGTATAGCATTTATAAATGTTGTAAATAAACATAACACCAAACCCATGTCTGTCTTTTGCAGGTAATTAGCCAATCAAGAGCTAGATTTAATCCAAGTATCAGCATGATTAAGAAGTGTATTGAAGTTCTGATAGACAAACAGTACATAGAGCGAAGCCAGGCCTCTGCAGATGAATACAGTTATGTAGCGTGATGTTGCTATCCTGCAGGTATGATTGTAAGGAGATCATTGCTGTCACTGTTTGGTGTGTTCCTGTGGGAAGAGGCAGGCCTGTGCCTCCATAATTGGTCACTTGGCAGCCCCTGTTTTTCTGCTGTTTACAACATCACCAGTGCCACGTCATGAGCGTCAATGAAAATGCCTATAGATATTTCAAGCTCATGTCATTATGACATTTCTTAAAACTTTACTAAAAGAACGAGTGAAGTATTGCTGAAATGTGGAAAATTGGTTGGGTACCATGCTTTTTTTTTTCTTCCCCCTTCACGTTTGCAGTTGATGTTTTTTAATGTATCTTAAGACAAAGTTAAAAAAAAAAAAACAAAAACACAAAAAAAACACAAAACCCAAAAAAACCAAAAAAAAACAACCTAAATATTGTAATATGACAGATAACCTAATAATTGTATCTACATTAAAATGTAAAAAAAATGACAGACATGATACTGCTGCTTGTCAAATAAAAAAATAAAGTTATATAATGTGTCTTGAATGTCTGTAAATATTATTCAGAACTGAAAGAGTAAAAATCATGTTATATGTTTGGGCTTTGGATAACCTCAGAAGTAGATCTGATGTAAGAACTAATTTATATAAAACTGAATAGTAGGTATGTTATGTTTGATGTGATTATAACAGAATATTTATGGCTATGTGCACATCTTGTTTTCTTGAGATTAGGCTCATTTACATTCTTAGTGCCTGAAGACCTACTCTGTCTGTTAATCTCACACTGTAGGAATATGTTACAAGAGAAAATAAACAGATGTTTGAGGGGATTTGAGTAGTGTAGTTCACAAAGAGTTAGGAATGTTTATTATGAACATCAAAGATACAGTTCAGTGGCTTGTGAAACCACCCTGTTAATGGGAAGGAATATAGCAGACTGGTAATTGAAAAATGTTGTTTCACTAATGTATTGGGTAGAAACACTACATGAGTAGGTACCTATGTTTGTTTCTACATAAGCCCATACTGGTTTCTTTTCTTGTTTTCCCTCCTGACTTATATTTTCCTCCGCCTCAATTAGATTTCTAGCTATTTGGGCAGGACAAGAAATCCATGGGCTATTTCATGTCCTGTATCATTCATGAGGGGTGGCATGGTGACTCTTCACTCTCACATGAGTGAAGTATAGTTTTAAAAGGTTCTAACTCTAACACTGGAAGCAATTGGAATTTAAGAGCATGAAGAGTGTGAACACACTTAAATGCCTGCTGCAGAAAAGAGCTTCCTCATGGATATGCCTGCAAGTATCATTGACAGGATAAATATTAATTTAACTTCAAATGGTCTATTTTTGCCAAACTTTACTTGTGTGCATATAAAAATATATATGTAGATGTATATTATTTTCAATATTTTTTTTAGATTGTGTGATATTTCATTACCTACTAAAAGTCCACAGATCAATAATTAATTTTAAAGGAAAAACCCTTTGGGGGAAGCTTTTTCCTCCTTTTTTCTTTTTCTACTTCTTCACTGTATGAAAGTTTTCTCTCTCTCAGATTGTTGCTGTCTCTTATTTCTTAAGTGGCATCGCATTCAGATGTTATCTGGAGGGTGTAGTAAACTTTCTGTAGTTAACTAGGAAGTGCATCAAGAAGTGGTAATATGTTTTCCTTATGTGGATTTTGCTGAGGGCAAATAAAGGGCAATAAACAATGAAGGGCGCTAAACGTTTCTTCTGTATTTATGGTATTTTATCCCACTACACTAAAGTCTAGATTTTTAAGTGGATTTATGTCTTAAAGAAGTAAGGTTTTTAACTGATCTGAGTGTGGTGTGGTAATTCATTGTCTAAAGTTTTATTTCAGAGTTGTATGTGTGTGTTGGGAGACAGCAAAGGTGCTTATAATGTCACTAAGGGTAGAAAGAGGAGACACATTAGCATAGATTTTGACTGGAGTGACTTTTAATCTCTTCCAGTGTGAAACTTTTCTGTGCTTTATAAAAAGAAATTCAGTAATTCTTATGACAAAAAATTCAATAGAGGGAATATTCTATGACTCAGTTGAAAAAATAGAAAAAATATTGCCTGACCATTGAATCATAGGATCCTTTCTCCAGAAAACAAACTAATGGTGACACCAAAGCTTCTGGTAACAAATGTGTTTTATCTTGTAACTTGTGTATGAGTCAACAGATTTTATGCTTGTTTCTTCATAAAAGGGTTAATAAAAGCTTTATTTAAATATAGATTGCAGTAGCAAAATTTTAAGACTGAGTTTGAAAAAGCCTTAACAAATTTATTTTCGGAATCACTTCAGAGACAAAACAAAAACTTTACTGCTCTAGCCCAAACGTGTAAGGTTTTAGCATTACCTTATCTCTGAATTTTTGCATACCTAAACCATCAAAAGTAGAATTTTGTTTTTCAGATAAGCATGCTGCCGAGTTGAGACATGTTTAGTGAGTTAAAAACATTCATATATTTCAGTGCAGTTGGCATCACCAGACAGTGTCTTTCATAATTACACACAAACTCAGTCTTTTTGGTGTGCCTTGGTAAACATGGCTATAGCTGGGAAACATTTTGAATTCTGCTTTATAACTCACACATTCCCCCTAAGGAAAAATGCAGCACAAAGATTCATCATTGCTGGCACAGTGGTGCAGCTTACAGTGTAGTGCTACAGCCTGGCAACTCCATACATCTGGCAAGTATAATTTCAAAATCCAAAGTGCTAATGGATATTAACAGGAGGGGAAAATTATAAAAAGAGAAGATGTACAAAAATGCCATGCATTTTTAAGTTTTCACTAGAAGAAACTGGTATAGTTGTACAGATTTTTTAAAAATTTGTTGTAAGCCTGTTGACATGTATGACCTGCTAGTTTATTTGGTGCTATACAGCTGAGTCTGGAAACATAATGATTTAATATATCTCATACATTTCTAATATCAAAATACATTTTGCCTCTACTGTTGAGGTATTATTTATAATTCTTATGCTTACTGTATTTCTATGATGTTTTAATTTCCCTTCAGATTGATTATCTTATTCTAGGAAAGAAAAATGTGTACCTGTATTTCAGTGTGTTTATACATACAGGGATGCTGGAGTTATGAAAGGTACTTAAATCACCATAATGTGAGAAACAGTTTTCAAAGCAGAGAATATCATTATGTGTTAAGAAACCTTTCAGTGAGTATATCACTTTTCCAAATAAGGAGCAGAGTACGGAAACTGGTCAAAGAAGAAACACATTTTATGAGGTGGTACTTCAGCTGTGCTTACAAAGCCATTTCTTATCATTGAAAAAGTTATTTTAAAAGCAAGTCTTGCAATATAGTTTTGATTCTTGAGCAGAATAAAATCTGTGTACCCTAGGACAAATATGTTAGGACTGTCCATTCTTTACAAAGATGGTAAGTACCTAGAATTAATGAAGGTATTACAGTCTATGAAAACATATTGTTCTTGCACTGAGTATTTTCTCTTACTCCAAATCTGAAGTTATCCTTACTTGCTTATGGTAAGTTGTATTGTACTTCCTAGATGATAACAAAACCAAGTTCTGGAAGTTGTCAGGCAAAAGAAGAGGAAGGATCATCAAATTGCTCGAGTATAATAATTTTGAAATAATGCCAGACTTTACTAAACAAATATGTGTGTGTGCGGTTTTAAAGAGGGAGGGTGAGCAAATGTGTCTGGTAAAAGTAACCAGACACATGTAGCTTGGATGTGCATTTCCTACTGTCTCCATTCTGTGGAATTTGCAATTGCATCAATATGGGAAGAAAATAACAGCCAGCAAAAAGAGGTAGATGAAGAGGCTGGCCAGTTCGCCTCCCTTTGAGATGTACTGCAGTTGTATTTTTGTGTTCTTTATCTTTGAATAGTTTAAACATGCACATGTTAATTAACAAGATTGCTGTTTAGTTCAATATCGATGATTACTTGTCGCACGTTTAAGGAAGAAGTGTGCTAGAGTATTCAAAGAAGCAACACTTGACAGCCGTGTGTTGGTGCTGCTCCCATCAGCTGTCCCAGGGACACACAGCACAAGACGAAAGTTTCCTTCCTTGCCCAGTAAGTCCAGTCCTGCATATACATCTCAGAAGTAAAGGACTCTTCCAAGCCTGAGCAGTAGGATGAAGTAATTCAAAAGGTATTGCCAGTTACTTCTAAAATAGTTCTATTAGTTTAGGCAATTACTTCCACCATTCATTTCCACACCTTCTGTATGACCATTGTGACTGAAAGATATCAACAGTGACTTAAGCAAAACTAAAATGCTCACTTGTGTGGTTGCTTTGACTGAAGTAATGAACAGCTTGCATTAACACTGTAGTAAGTTCCTCCTGCCCAGCTGGGGAAAGTAATGAGTGCGTGCATTACTAGTCTATTAACAATATCAAGTTAAATCTTGACACTTGACCAACTGGTGAGCTTCCTGTATATGAACCTTTTCTAAAGCTTCTGGATGAGCCAGAAATCTCCTCTGGTATTTTATACTGAGGAGGGCTGTACTGTGTGTCCTTACTTCGCCTATTCCACTGAGGTAAACAAAGTCATACAATGCTGTTTCTGTAAATACTGCTCTCCTGATCTTCTCTGATGTAGTGTAATATACCAGGAACAGAAAATCATGTATTTAGGGACTACAGAAAGTAAAGTAGGGTGAATGAAAAACTTCCCAATGTCTGTATAGCCAAGGCATCAGTTCATTGACACCCAACCAAACATTTGATATATTAGTGTTTACAAAAGCAGTGGATACATAAGGAGATTGTTAGGTGTGTTTTCATCTGAAAGAGGCCTTGTTCTTAGCATAATCATTGAATGGTAAACACTGTCACCTTTTGGTGGAAGCTCGTGGTTCTGATATGTATCCATCTACCTTTTTCCAGCAGCTGTGAATAGTAGCAGTGTAGTTGCCAGCAGTTATTAAAGAGGAATGGTTTGAGGACAGTTTTGAAACGTGGCAGGTCACTGTTACCTGTCTTCTAGTGTTGGTTATATCATCTCTAACTTACTAGGTGTATATAATAAAAGGTGCAACACTTCTCAGATAGTTTTTCACATTATGTTGAACAGTTTCTGTTCAGTTTCATAAGATGTACTTGGGCTGTTTTCTTGACAATTCTACTTATGTGTCCATTTTCCTTCCTTCTTTCCAGCCACCAGCTTAACAGAATTCATGGTCATCAAAACTTGAGTTTGAGAGAATAAAAAAATATATCTGAACCTCGTATTATGTAGTCATCTGTATATTTGAAGCCAGTTAAGAATGTTTTATGGGATTTGTTTTAAGCAATGCCAGGCATTTGACTCCTTCAGAGTGGTGAGATACATGGCGTGAGGTGCTGCTGCCTGGAACTAATCAAGAGGAATCTGTCAATGGAAGGGTATGAACAGTGTGAACTCCTGTGCTTCAGGAGTTGATCTGGTGTGTCGCTGTGTGCAGAATCTAGCACATCACGCATACTCTTGAGGGTTTTTTTCTTTTTTAAAGAGAGAGCATAAGCA